AAAAAAAAAACACACTGAATTCGATTTAACAACGACGAACTAGGCGTGTTACGTATACCTATATCTAAGGTTTTTTTTTTAGTTTTAAACGAATCATGTTATACGTATAAACGGCTATAAACTGAGTTTACATTTCTTATACTTAATTTAAGATTGTCAAGTGTCCTTCTCTTATGAAATTGAAATTAAATAAAAACGCAAAAAAGATGAATTTATGAGATATCGTAGAGTGCAAACTTTGTGACCGACTGACAACGTTCTCAAACCAACACCTATTGAACAACCCCCCAAAAAATGTCGAAAAATATATCACCTACGCCTAAAAGATAATTAACCGATAATATCTGCATATATTAATCACTACCAGGAAAAGAGGGTTTTTGGGATCTAAAAGAAGAAACCGTTCAACAAACGAATCACTTTCGTCTATATTCCACGTCTATATAACTACAAAACTTCCATAATTATTTCAAAAAAATATTTTTTGACACTAGTCATATTCCAAATAAAGACAGCCATTAAACGTTATATAAATGAATATATTATGATTTATAAGCTATAATAAACGATAGTTTTGAAATTAATTCATGTGATACTGTTAAATAACTTGATTTTGACAATAGTATACATGCAAACATACAGCAATCGGACCTTAATTTCTATGGATGCGCTCCCAAAAATCTAGATTCATACATACTGAACATACTACACGTGCAGTTGACTAAACTATAACCTTTACGCTCGACCCTTAAATTCTATCTTTTCCAGTGAATACTTTAGTAACCCCTTGACGTGATAAATTTTTCATAAAAAATCAATGTAATAACTCACTCTTACGGCATCTTATTGAAATATAAAAAACGTAATTTTCGTGGCATTACCTATTATTATTATGATCAACATTATCGATTAAACTGCAGTGGTATACGATGGTATATCATTTTTAATCCCGTCCATTAGCGTAATTAGTGGATCAACGGTTACGAGATTTTCACCAGCAATCCATGGATCTCTCGATAGTTCATGGAGTGCAGGTTCTGATATTTTTTCAATTAATATAAAAACATTATTTTTTAATTAACTATATTATTACAAACCGTAATGATAGTAATACTTTTTCGAATAGCATTAAAATACCAAATAATAACCAAACTCATCGATAGTCATACCGATCTATTTGGTTTTGAGTTCGCTTAATTTTAGAGTTCCAGCTTTTAATCCTCGTAATGTATTACATTCCCTTCCATATCATTTTTTGCTTTAGGAACTATCCTACATGTGATGAACAAAGAGAACAAAAATTCATCATTTCTATAGAGCGAATCTAAATCAACTACTTTTTATGTAATATTTGCTACATGTAATTATTTTTAATATTATACTGGTTTTATGTCCGTTACCTTTAATAATATAATTAATAAATCACTAAAATGCGAAATCAAAGATTTTTCTATTTTTTTTCTTTTTTTCTAAGGAGCGAGTGTGCTTAATATATTTTAAAGAACCGAAAAGAGGTTAAGAACCACTAACTTACAGTATAGTGGTATCCTCGGATATGGCACCGGGTATGCGGTCGAACTGCTGGAACATGCATCGCACGGTGGTCTTGAAGCACATACACTTGGCCGGGCATTCGGCACGGACCGCGGTAAACGACAAGGATGACGCGATCAGGAACAGGAGCAGGAGCGTCGTCTTCGACGCGGCGGCGGCGGCGGCACGGTGCCGGAGGACGAGGAGCATCGGCCGAGTCATCGTGCGGACTGCTCGGCTGCGCGAGGTCGCGGCAGCGAAATAAAATAACCTATCACTAGGCCGACGCGCGCATGCGATCTATGTGCTGGACCACCCGAAACGACCGCGCGCTCGATTTTCACGGTCGTTTTTCCCGTCTTTCTCCAGTCGAACCACTTTTTTTTTTTTTTTTTTTTACAACATCTTACCGCATGTCATTATGATGTTATTACGAAGATATTACACGCACGTGCGTACTAACATCCGTTTTGCCGAATCGCGGTGTACAGATATTAACGAACTGCAGCAGCAGCAACATTTGTGATGCACACATGCGTCCGAGGAAACGTGAACGTGAATTATACGATAAGCCGAGCCGCGAAAATCAATGTGATTCACACACAAACGGGCACAACTCGGTAAGCTTCCATTGCGCTCATCACACGCGGTCGCGTCCCTTCCGTCGTCGTCGGTCGAAGATCGAATTTCGTAGACTCCGAAAAGCAGCACCGCTACCAAACGGTTCCGGGACGAAATCAATTAATTTTACTTTTATCAGACCCGGCAGAGATGATACGCACGACGGTTTCATTTAATTGAAACGGCGCGCATGTTGCGTACTATGGTCCGTATTAAAACGTAACACGTTCCTGCGGTGTCGTCACCGTAGAATGTGTGACGAAGAGGGGTCGTGATGATGAATCGCTGCGGTGTCCGAATTCAAGTGGTACACGAAGACCTCGAATGACACTAAGCCCGTATCCGATTTCTCCAAGTTCTCACGTTTAAGCATACACGCGCTATACGGGTAAACATAGACGTAGTTTTTATTTTTATAAATTTTACGACGCTGTGTTGGGTCCGACCATTATCGTAAATGACGGTACACAGATATTCATAAGTGAGCGCGGAGATTTGGCTATTTCTCTTTGTTCTCGCGAACGATTCTCGAAACACGTTGGTCCATTGCTGAGCAGTAGCGGATTTAGCATTGTGGGGCCCCTAAGCCTAATCACTCTGCTCCCCCCCCCATATCACTTTACTAAGGAACCAACAATATTTGGTCTAAGCCCTTCTCTTCAAATTTTATTCAGTTTTTTTATCAAAAAAAAATATTAAATCTTAAAATAGAAAACTTCTGAAAATATTTCATGTCTATTATTTTACTTCAGATACCATTATTACCAGTACAAATAAACAATGCTTATACAGTCACATAACGGAAATATTAATAGCCGAATATGAAAATACCTATACTTGGATAGTCGGATGTTCCCAATAAGTACATAGGTACTAATAACTATAAAAAAGTAACTAACTGTAATTATTCTATTACAAATGAAATAGTTTCAAAAATAATAATTGTAATATTCTTACTATAACCTATAGGTACGCATCATACAATGTACATATTAATTATTTATATTATTAGAACTTTTTAAAATTATTCTTATTCATGTTTATATGACAAATATAAATAAAAATATATTAAAATAAATATACCTAATAAATCAATAATAACGCTTAATTTTATAAAAAAAAAAGCTACCCTCCCAAAAAAGCCGTCCTAGGCTATAAGCCTTTAAGCCTCCCTCCTAATCCGCCACTGGTGCTGTACAGTTGTAATATTTTCTAACAGTGGGTCCTCGGTGGGCATTGTACGTCTGCAACAGCGCCGATTTAGATCGTGTTCATGTAGGGCATTAGTATTTGCGCTGGTTTAATATAGACTTTTAAGATACGTTCCTTGCGTGCGTTTCGATCAGTCTAGCTTTTACAGACAGGTCAGACAAGTCATTTGCAGCGAGTTCGACGTTTCGTTATTGCCCTAAATGTGTAAACTCTCCCGAGTTGTTTTAAATATTATTGTTACACTATGAATTGGCTACAGTAAAAATCGACAAAAGCCCTTTTTCTTAGAAACCGTCCAATTATACCTGGGAAAGTTTACATGTTCCCGTCAGGTTATGCAGAAGTAGATTTACCGGGGTAGTTTACAGGTCATTAAAATCGGGCAAGTTTACCATAGCCGGGGCCAAAGCCCATTATCTACAAGGATACCCTCAAGGATGGGCCGAGTTTCGATGTTACCGATACGTCGACACCCTGGCCGTGTGTACGTCCTACCTAAACGTTCTCAGCGATAAAAACGGTCCGGTTTTTCTGTTGCGCCCAATGCGTTTTGCTTCTCGGATCGCACGTGTGCTTTTTGTCTGTTTACAATGGCCACTGCTATAATACACGTACAGTGTGTACACTAACTCGATTGGTATTGATGATCGCTCGATGTATACCACTACTGCAGAGTGTTATTCCATCCAATCGTTAAAACGATTAATGTTTTACGGCATGTTGAACGAAGAGTTTAACTGGAAAACGTTCTTATGGATGTAGACGTTGTTGCCGCACTTTATCCTATAACAATAACATCCATCGTGCATAAACGACGCGTCCGTTTGACTTCCAAAGTTTACATTATAATATTATGCGTGCACGCAGCTGCAGCAGTAGATTCACGTGTTAAATACGGTTACAAAATAATAAACTTTGAAAAATAATTTATATCCTTGCAATTGTCGAACAATAATTGTGATCGTGTTACGATTGTATTATACATATAATATACAAGTATAATATTATTAGTGGTTGGTATAAAATATTACACATATGTTATAAGATTTATAAAAATACAATATTATTATGACGTTTGTATACTATTCAGCGAAAAAAAAATCGAATTTACGAAAAGGAAACGCTACAAAGCTTATCGAACACACTATCTATTGACTATTATGAAAATCTCAACATAATACTAAAAAAAAAAATACCTTTGCGCCTCTGCAATGTAATAATTAGAATAATAGATTTTCTGTGTAAAAATTATTCGTTATGATTATCACAGTACACCATATATTAGTCAGATAAAAAATATTAATTAATTGATAAAAATGTTTTCTACAATGCTTTGTTTAATACTCCAACACGTGATGTTTTTACCACACTATCTACATATAAACATACTTGTTATATGCAATAAAGCATTACTTCGATATTCAACGTTGAATATTCGTGGAAAGATGAGTGCGCAAAGGTTAGGTAGACAATAATTAACGAGTAATATTGTAATTTTTTCGAACTTACAGTATTTCGCCTTAACATTATAATATTATATTGTGATGTAACATCGAAGAATAAAGATATTTTAATAAAACACAAATGATGAATGAAGTCTACTATGAAGAATAGAAAATTAATGAGATAACAAACGAGGCATTATTATTAATTAATTTAAGTAGGTGTACATTATTATGACGTAAAATATATGACGATGCGTAAATTACAAGCATGTTAAATTAAGTCTGTAATAACCCAGCGCGCATGGTACACATAAATTTATATTTTATATACGTAAAAGTCATGTTTCAAATCATTTTTTGATTCCTTAAATAATGAATTAAAAATAAATCTGTCAAAGACGGTTTTATAGGTGTATTATTATGTACAAAAAATATAACTAAATACAGAATAACAAAATAATAATAATAATAATTAAAGTAATAGTTTAATTTAACTGTAACGTGTTAAACAGTAGACAAATGCATAATAAAAGGTTCGAAAAACGTACCATGACTTACGGTCAAAAATTATTATAAATATCATTGTGATTTAAAATATGTATACTTTAAAATTGTTATGAAAATTTAAATACTTTGTTATTAATGAATTTCCTTAAATATTTGACAGTAAAAAATATATTTTACACAAACCTATTAGGTATGTTAAATTTTCTCCTTTTTCTTTCTCTTTGAGTTCGAGTTTTAAATGATGCGAATAAGATAATTATTTGAAAATAATATAAATGTAAATTGTTTCTTAATTATTCAGTTCATTGGTGGTATGTTAGTAGGTAGGTAAGTAATAAGTTATTAATAATAATAAATATAAGAATATGGATGAACCTTCATTGTTGGATCTACGTGATACGAATATAATGTAATTCATAAAAAAAAATTAAATTCATAGTCTGTGGGTTGTGTTTGTTAACATATGAGTATAGTAGGCCCTATTTTTATGTGCACCTCGACACACAATGTGCACTACGGTTTTAACGTGTGTGCACTATGGTCTACAAAACAAAAATTAAATAATAAGCCAACTACTAGGAAATATGAGTATTATTGAATTTTTTAAAATTTAAGGCATATATATATATATATAATATATTCCTTTTTCTAAGACAATAGCGAGACTAAATTTTCATTTAAAGCAGTAAAATCAAGTGTGCAGTCCGAAATTGTACAAATAATAGGCTCTGAAATATAGTAAGTAATTTCATATTGAAACAAATCGAGTTTCAATGTAAAGTTGGTACCTTTTTGACGATATCTTTATCGACACAACCGTAGTTGTAATTTTCTGGAATAGCTTTATACTTATTTTGTTACTTATTTTGTTATTAAATGAGATTAAAACTATTTTATCGTAAATACACTGAATTGAATTCTACAAAACTCTTCGTGGGCTTCAGCCGTTCGTACAATGCATTGTTTGTTGGTCTACGTTTTAGATTACGTAGAGATACATATACGCCCCAGAATAAAAAATTGTATCGAATTCGGTGTCACTAAGCACGAGGAATTAATATATTTTTAATTAATAAGGTCGACGACACCGCGCATTGATGTTTCTCATATAATTAATATGTCATAAGCCTAAGAGGAAGAGAGTTGTCAATTAATTTGTTTATACCGTATCACAGACATGAGTTATTAGTTTCAATGTTTCATAATATGCTTCAAAGGCGTTCATGCACATGTCTCATCGTTGTGTGAGGTGGTATAGGATAAAATAAATAATATTTTTATTATTAAAATTTTAATTTATTATTTTTGTCCCCCAGTGAAAATTCCTTAAAATATTCACCGTTGCATCCCAATTATTATTGTTTATTGTACAATATTTAGAATTTGTCTTAAACATAATTCATTTGGGATGAAAAATGCGATGATTTTATTTTATTTTTACGAATTCTCCCTTTATAATTGTGAAAATCGGTCAAACTTTTGAAGATTATGATTTTCGGAACTTGGTTGACGCCGCGACGTATGTGATACAAAGAGATAAGCATTTGATAACTCTTATCGACATCGACCGGTTCCCAAACAAGAACAACGTACCGAGGATTATTTAAAAAAAAAACGTCTGCAAGACACGAAAAATTATGGTGTACGTTTGAAATCGTCGAAGAACGTTTGCGATTTATTTCACCATGCTCATATACTTAAGCAAAAAAGTTGGTTTTGCGTTTTAAGCCCGTCCGCATGCATAAAGGATGTTTATAAACGTGGGAAAGTTATTGTTTTGTTTAGATCGCTATACCGAACAACACGAAAATCAATTGCCTCGAATGGAATTCGAGTCAAGATTGTATTGCAGTTGGTGGAGATGATGGCCTTTTGAAAATATTGAAAATCGATTCCGGAAACTCGGCAGATGGTAAGCCTAAAGGATTGGCAGGACAAGCCAACTTGTCGATAAATAAAACACTCGAAGGACATTCTGGTAGTGTATTAGCCATTGTTTGGAATGAAAAACACAATAAACTAACATCAAGCGATGAAAACGGCTTAATCATTGTTTGGACTTTGTATAAAGTATGTTGTTTTACTATTGGCTCCGTTTTAGTGCTTTATGTATTTATCAATTATTTATTATTTTGTAGGGAACATGGCAAGAAGAAATGATCAACAATCGTAATAAATCTATTGTTAAAGGTATGGCATGGAATGGTGATGGTGAAAAAATTTGTATTGTCTATGAAGATGGTAAGTATTTATGGTTTTATTTCATTTATATTTAATATATTAACAACATTTATTAAGCTTATAATATTTTGGTCTAGGCGCTGTTATTGTTGGTTCAGTTGAAGGTAGTCGAATCTGGGGCAAAGAATTGAAAAAGTTGATGTTGACCGGTGTCCAGTGGTCTCCAAATTCAAAATTTCTTTTGTTTACCATTAAAACTGGTGAAGTTCATTTATATGACAGCGATGGAAATTTTGTAGTAAGTACCATTATAATAATGAATAGATTTTATAATTTCTTTTATGATTTTAGTCTAAATTAGGTATTGCATGTCTACCAATATCTTCAAATAATGCGGTGATTTCTGCTTGTCATTGGCTCGGCAGAGATATGAAAGGCTCCCCACAATTAGCCATAGCGTACAAATCAAGCCATGTGCAGTTGATGAGAGATCAATATGATATGAGTAATTTATTTTGAGTAATTATTATATTACTAATTTACTTATGCTAATAATATAAAATAGATCCAGTGGTTTTTGAGTGTGACATGTCAATAGTGGCTATCAAATGGAATCATAACGGCAATGTACTGGCATTAGTTGGTTCGTTAGTAGTGGATGGAGATGTTAAAGAGTCCAATGTTCTGGAACTATATTCTCCTTTTGGTGAAGTAAGTTTTAATCATAATATAACATACTATGAGTTTCATGATTAATTAGTAATTTAATTTGCACCACAACACTGTTTTAAATGAATTAATCCTTATTGATTGTACATGTGTAATTATTAGTATTATTTTTTTTTTTTTGTTTTTAGCATTTGAGAACTCTAAGAATTCCTGGATTCATGGTCTCTGCTTGTTGTTGGGAAAGCACATCTTTACGTATCACTCTAGCCATTGATAGTTTTGTTTATTTTGCCAATGTACGATATGATTACCCATGGTGTTACTTTGCTGGCACTATTGTTTATGCATATAGAAATTATGAAGAATCTGTTACAGATATAACATTTTGGAATATTAAGAAAAATGAAGTATTTATTTTAATTTTATAAAGCCCATCCGATTATATAATATTTTTCCTCTATGATTTAGTTTTATCACACAAAATATGATTCTTTGCTATGTATGGATGCTTATAAAGATTATTGTGTTCTTGCTGTACGGAATAATAATGATCCATCTAAACCCTGTAGTCTCATTATATGCAACAATATCAATACTACAGTTGATTGTAAGTTTTGTTATAAAACCTCAGATGTATAAATATTGTTATACTCATTATACTTATATAATGTGTATAAACCTTGACATTGTAGTAGAATTAATTGTGGTATTGATTTTCATAGCAAAACATATCAATTTTGAACCAATATGGATTGCAATTAATGGTACTCATGTGATTGTTTCATCATTTACAAGTTTTATGATTTGGCAATACTCTGTTCCAAAATCACTTTCTGCATCCATACTTAACAGTAAATCATTAATTTATATGACAAAATTAATAAACTCTAAGTATGTACAAATTTAATTTTCTTATTTTTTAGCTAAACGTAAGAAAGTTAAAATGATTCATATTGACGATACACCTTCTGGAATTGATGAACTCACACAAGAATCATCAGATTTCAAAAGCTTATCTTTCCAAAAGGTAAATTTATAATAATACTGTTAAAAACAAAATTAAATATTTAAATGGTGTTTAGGAAACTAAGGATCGTATAACTTGTATAACAGCTAGTGATCAATATCTATTTATTGGCAGAGAAAGTGGTGCTTTGCAAAAATACTCATTGCCACAGGTGGCTTTAGTGGAAAGAAAAATTTTAGCATATAAACCCTATAAATTGGCATTAAATTCTAATTCTAAGTAAGCAGTAAGGTTATATTGTTTTTATTTATTGCATAAAAAAAATTGATTATTTTATTTATTTTTATTTAGACGATTGGCTGTAATTGATTCAACTGGTATATTGACACTTTTAGACATCTCTGAAGATAATTTAGTTTCTGGATCAACTAGTTCTGAAGTTCCAAATTCTTTTCAAAGGAGAGATGTATGGACTATGAAGTGGGCATCTGATGATCCTGAACTTTTAGCAATCATGGAGAAGACACGAATGTATGTCATAAGAGGATTTCATCCTGAAGAACCTATTAGCACTTCAGCTTATATTGCTTCATTTGAAGTAAGTTAAAACTATTAATAACTACTGTCATGAAACAAATAATGAACCAATTCTGGTTTAGGTTTAATTTTACTATGTTTAATTAATATACAAAACCATTGATTATAAATACTTATATTTTACTTATACTTTTATTAGTAATTATAATCAATGATAAAACTAAATAGGTACAAATTAAAACATAGAAGTATAAGAAAAATTATATGTGAAACTACGTAATTATTAAATAAAAAATGTATAATTGTATACTAGCAAATAGTAATATAAAATGTTCTAGTAAGAAACAATATAACAATTGACAACAATATATATTTTTCAAACAATCAAGTTATTATAAAATTATATTTTGTTTATTCTTCTTCTGGCATTTATTACTCTAAGAGTTTTCGCCATCATCACTTTTATCATAAATTGTTTGTATAAGAAAAATTTAGTTATGTTGATTATAGTCAATATTTATATTATAATAATCATGTTAAAAAAATAATAACATACTAAGAGCTTAAATATTAAAGTATATATTATTTTAAATTTTATTTTAAGAATTTAGAAATTCAAGCTGTTATGCTTGATGAAATTATCCAGTCTCCTGATAACCCATCTCTTGATTATATTATTACTTTGGAAACTAAATCGTTAAGGGACACAAGACAGTTATTAGAAAAAGTCAGTATTACTGAAGCAATCAAATTTATCAATGATAATCCACATCCAAGACTTTCGTAAGTATTTTTATCTTTTTTTTGTTTTACTTTTATCAATTACAGTTTATAACAACAAAACTAATCTATAATAAAATATTTATAAGCTATTTATATTTTCTCTATACTTGTAACTTTATCTATAATATCTATTGATATAGAATTTGCATATTAATTATGATTAAAATTACATTTTTTATTTATGTTCTGTTAGCCTAAATGTTTTTAATTTTCTTTCTACTTATACAATTATTTACTATTACCTTTAATTAAGTATACATAAGTATACTTAATCAATGCTATTACATTATATTATTTTATAACAATCATTAATTGATTATTAATGTAATTAAATTCTTATATTTAGGAAGTTATTAGCTGAAGCATCATTACAAGCTTTAGATCTTACAACAAGTGAAACAGCATTTGTTCAGTGTCAAGATTATCATGGTATAAAATTAGTAAAACAGTTGGGCAACATACATGATGTTCAATTAAAACATGCTGAAGTAGCTGTATATTTTGGAGATTATGCAAAAGCTGAGAAATTATATATTGAAGCCGATCGAAAGTAAGAATTTATAAATTTTCATAATTAAAATGTTATTTTAGGAATTGATCCTTTGATGTATTTCTTATAAATATTTATAGAGATTTAGCCGTTATTCTATATCAAAAACTTGGAAATTGGTTTAAAGTTGTAGAGCTGTTAAAATCAAGTTCTTCGCTAGTCGGAATATCTGGCCTCACAATGAATTTGGCATGGCAAGGAATCGGTGATCATTTCCTAGACAATCAACAATGGTATGTACTATAGAAAAAAAAAGATTACATAATATAGTAAATTCAGCGTTTTAAACTAAATGTTATGATTTTATTTGATGTTATTTAAATATCCAGGGACTTAGCAGTTGAATACTACAAGAAAGCTGATAACCCAGAAAAGCTTGTTGAGTGTTATATAATGCTTAAGGACTATGAGTCATTAGCATCCCTCGCCAAAAGTTTACCAGAAAATCATCCGTTATTAGAAACTATTTCTGTGTTTTTCATCAATAGTGGAATGGTCGAAGATGATTCTTCAAACCAAAATGTATGATGAAACATATTTACTATTCTGTTGTTCATTCAAAATAATGAAGAAAAAATTTAATTGTATTAGTTTTCCAAACGGATGTTGACGACCATTGAAATTGACACTAGTAAAATAAATGAACACATAAACAATTTGAATAATTCAAACCGAGATCAATGGCTAGAAAATGTGAAAGGCTTGTTGACAGTGGTTTCCAAGTGCATAAATGGGGAACGATACATGGAGGCTGCCCAATTAATATTTGCTGTAATAACAACATCAACAGCTATCTTTGTTAACTATGTTTAACTTTTGTTGTTTGATATACTTTTAGATTGTTTGTCAAGAAATTAAATCAGATATACAACCAAACATCATACGACAGTTATCTACAGCAGGTGCTCTATTAATTGAAGAGTACAAAGATAGAAACGTCAAATCCACTTTGTCAGATGGTATTAGACTGTAAATATTTGTTTTAATCAGTTTCATTTATGATTATATTTGTTCGATATTTAGTCGATGAAGTGGTAATTAACGATTTCAAAGCCATACCATTTAAATCCCGTGCCGAAATTATAGCAAACAGTTGGCGTATTGTAGAATCTATACATTTTTTAATACTTGCCCAAAAACAACTTTACAATGGTAAAAATAAAAAAATAAATTCAATTTTGTCTTAATTATTTTTAAATTTATATTTTACACTTATGTGATTCATTAAGTTATAGTAAATACAACTTTATTTCATTTTTTTTTAGGAGACTTTCGTTTAGCCCTGTGGACATCGTTAACTCTTCGCAACTATGAAGACTTATTGAACAATGAACAGGTGTATTCAATTATAGCATTAGCGGCAATAGCAAACAGTTCATTCAATATTGCATCTAGAGCTTTTATGAAACTTGAAACCATTGCCACGGTAAAAAATTAATGTTTAGCAATTTACTAATCATGTCCAATATTGTAATCATTCAGTTTTATTTTGTAGAAAAAAAATTATAGTCAATTGTCGTTGATTATATTTAGCAAATATCCTCCTAAGGATGATGTGACATTATCTATTCAATGTTATAGCTGTTTGAATAATTTTCCTGCTTGGTAAGATTTTTCTTGTGTTACCAAATGTTTAGTTATCAGTAAAAACAATGTTTAGCAAGTGATTTATCTTACACAGATTTCATTTGATGTTTATTACAGGTCGTTGAAGTGTCCACAATGTAAAACCAAACCAGAAGCAAATATTGTTTCGGGTCAACCACTGACTGATATCAAATCGGTTTGGTGTTGTAGACAATGCAAACGTAATGCAACAACTACAGACATGGAACCATTAAATTACTGTCCTCTGTGTAGAAAAGAGGTCATTCTTACCTTTTGAATTGTTTTACATATTTATATATTAGATTTTTTCATTGTGCACATGACACTTTTGAATGATTTTTATATTCATTCTAATTAAATGCATTCCGTCCAGTATAAAACTAATACGCACTACTATAAGACTGAACAATATTTATTTGTGAATTAAATATATTAATTCAATAAACAATAATAATAATATTTATATATATATAGTTTTTGTTTACTTAGATTCAAATAAGATTATCAATATTAATTACATTTTTTATTGATAAGAATGAAATATAAAAACAAAGCCATTACTTAAATCATATTGAGATACAACAAAAAATAAAGAACATACAAATATAAACAAGAAAAAACACTATTCACTAATTAATTTAGAATGTTACCCGAAAACATGGTAATATTACTATACAATAGTGACATCTAAACTTAAAATATTACAGTAAATAATATCATAGGAAAGCATCATCAACCAATCACAATTATATGTGATACTAAAAAATTCAGCCTTAAAAATATAAGAAATAAAAATTTCAAAATTCACTTCAGATTTAAAATTGTAGTATTTCAATTAAATGTTATCTGTGTATATTTAAAACTACTGAATCTACTTCTTAATCTATAAAAAATAAGTATTCATTAATAATGACTTAATTAAGTTTGATAATCAATATATGTTTACAATTATTTTACTATAGTTCTGATTATAATCCTAATGTAACATTATGTTTAAGAGATTGAAATCTACAAAAAAAAAAAATTGTAGATTCACATTTATTAATAATATATTTGAATTACATTATTTTTTTAAAAAATATGTATTTTGAATGAGCGATTTGAAATTGTTTATATCTCAATAAAATCTAATTTAATATTGTGTTTATCTGAGAAATATAGCATAAATGCCTATTTTTACTAATTTTTTTCTTTGTCAATAAATGTATATACAATTAATATTTATATTAATTAACTGAGATATAATAAAGGTTGAATTAAGTTTTTAGCTACTCTTGAATTCAATCTAAGAAAAAAAAATAATTTTAATAGAAAAAAAAAGTACATACATTCCACTTCAACAAAGACCTCCTCCAAAATCTGTTTGTGGCTTAACTATGTCATCATTATTTTCAACAACGTTCGTAACTTTTTCTTCCTAAAATTTCAAATATAAGAAATATATATCAAAACAGATGAAAAACATATAATGATTTTAATAACATACAGGTTCCTCTACCCATTTTTCAGCTAAATTCTTGGCAAGTATTGCAAACTCAACATCCATGTGTTTAATAAATGCACTGTTTAACATTCTTTTAATTTCAGCACTGTCACGATCGGAGTATGCAGTTACTAAACTATCGAGCATATTGATCTAGAGAAATACAAAAATGACATTGTTACCACAGCAAAAAAAAAAAAAAACTCTAAACTTGTTCATACTTCGGCCTGTTCACAATATTGCAGTCCATGGTCATGTAATACTTTTTTAGCAGCCACATAATCATCTTTAGCCAATTGCAATAAAAACAATTCAACGGCTACTCTGCCCATATTGGACGTTGAACCGCCTTCAATGGCAAGTCCGAACTGACGGTTTAATTCTTCTTCAGCATCTTCGTATCTAAAAATATTTATACATGATATGAATTATTGGAAAAAGAAATAATAAGTTATAAAACAATACCTTTTCAATTTAACCAATAATCGTGCAGCTTTATGGGTGTATTCCATTGCTTGTCCAATTGAATCTTCAGTCTAAAAATATTAATCAATAATAATAGATTTTCAGATCGGATTAAAACAGCTCAATCAATTAAGATTAGCTGATTAAAATTTAAATATTTACAACAAACCCCAGAAATGTTAGAAGCTTCTTTTAATAGCTTAATGGCTGAATCTGGATCTGTTTTTTGTAACATATCTGCGACTTTGCATAACAATAATGATGCACTTCCTGCGGATCCGTGTTGCTGGTAATAGTGACTAGCTTTCATTGCCAATTGAAAAACATCACTCAAATCGTCCATTTCCTTAGACAAAATTATGGCTTGGTCCATACACCTAAAGAAAAATACAATCAGTCTCGAAAAACAGATACATCAAAATTCTAACACTTACTTTGCAGCATGGAAAAGGCTAATAAGAAAATAAATTAAGAAAAATTTAAAAATATAAAGTCATATTAAGTATAACACATTAGTTCAGACAAATTTATAAATTAAAACTTAGTATATAATTTCAGAAAATACAAATTATCATTCTATCTTCATTAGTTTCAGAGTTTCATATTATTTATAACAAAAAAAAATTGCCTTAGAAAAACAATTAGTGCATTTAAGTAATAAAAACATAAAAATATTATTGCAATATAATAATTAAGGCAATTTCCTAAACTCTCTAAACTTATTTTTTGTAGACAACACAAAAATCCTAACTTGAAAAGTTCAGAAGCTTGTTAATAATCCAGTCCCAAATGATTTATACATAAGAGCAAGTTTGAATATTTTTGAACAAAAGGATACGATCCATGTTTTAAATAATTTTCTGATGCTTTCACAAGGCATTGCTTGCTTTCTTTGTAAGCCTTTCCGACTCTGAAGCATGTAGCTATAACATACACATACATTGTATGAGTAACAAACAATAATTATACGGTTTATTTTTTCAACAAAATTAAATTAAAATCAAACATCTAACGGTAGTTCATCTCATTCGTCTATTTACAATATTCAATAGACTAAATGAAAAGTTGGTGGTTTTAAAAACATTAAATCCCAGCTAAGGTATAAAAAGTTTTAGACGATTAACCTGCTTTAGAATATTCATCAGCCGCGCTATCATAATCAGGTACCCATTTCAGTAGTGACGTTTTGAGGCTAAAAACAACGAAACACAATTTTGGTTAGTAGACAAAGTCGTGGCTTGTTTGTATTCAATCTGAGACAAAAGTTTTTGTTTACTATTTCGCAGCTTTCTCCATACACTCCCTGCCTTCCTGAACCTTATCTTTAGACATGATCGCTGCAACTGAATCCTAGTATAAATCCTGACTAGACTCCAAAGTATTCTTACGAAAAATTCCTAAACGGGTTTTAAAAATATCACTAATGCAGTGAAGTGCTTCCCGTTTACGGTAAAATATGACCCATTACATGTTCAATATTTGAGGAACTGATAACAATATCAGTGGACAGTGATATCACGTACTATGTATATTCGTATGGTATATATGTAATGATATCTGGTTAGATCGCAGCAAGGTGGTGGTGTATTGATACACTCAGTGCTCGACTTGTAGGGGACGGAGTACACCAACTAATTTCAGAAATGTTAGTGTCCCCCTACTATTATTACGTTTATAATTATAACACCCAACAAGTTTTGGGGATGCTCTTTTAAAGTAAATAGAGTGCTCCCTCTTCAATTTTGCCAAGTCGAACACTGGATACACCCACGGTCTACAAAGATCTAAGACCGTGGACACACTAGGGAAAGGAGAAAATGAATCATTTGAATCGATTCAATAAATCGATTTGATTCAAATTAATCGTTTCTCTGAATCATTTGATTCACCAATATTAAACCTATACCTACAATTTTTTTTAAAAAAAATGTTCAACATTAATATCTCATTTGAATCTGTATTGCGTTTCCGAGTATGAAAAAACATTTTCTTGGATGTTTGTTGTATATTCATTCAAAGATGATTAATAATTTGAAACTTAATGATATTTTTATCAAATATTCTAATTTTCAACTGAAGATTTTTCATTTATGATTGTCAAAGATAATCGTAGTGAAAAAGCATTATGAATAATATTTTGTTAAATTATTGTATTGTCTAAGTATTAATTTTTGAATAATTAAAACCAGCAAACAATAATTTTTTAAAAATATTTATTCAATGTGGAAGCATTTAAATTCATTTTAATTTTACATGTTACCAAAATACAAAACATTTAGATATTCAGAAACACATGTTTATTGCTCTCAAAATTAAAAGAAAATAACTAAAATGATTGATTTTGTCAAAGGTTTGGTTTAAATTCAATCCATTTCACATAATTTGTTTTGAAGTATTTAACTTAAGTATATAACTTTCAACAATTTATCACAAATTACCAGTACTAAAAATCTGCATACAGCTGGGCTCAAACAATAAAAAAAGTTCAAACTTATTGTAAGAAGTATTATTTAATCGGAAATAATATAAAATTAATAAAATTATACTTTGATAACAGTTGTAAAGCTCTAAAAAAAATTTACATCAAATAGAACAGTATAAAAAAATTTAAATTAGAAAAGATATTTAACAATATTTAAAAATCAACACAAATTAAATTTTGATTTTGATGATATAAGTTCAACAAATATTAATTCAATAAAAATATTTAATTTTTATTTAATAGTAAAATTGACTAACTGAATCTAGTTTAACAAATGTATCAATGAAAACTATTTGCTAAAATGCACAACAGCATATTTGCCATTAGTTTGCCAATAATTGGTGGATGAAAGATAATCACTATTATCCTTGTCGTTTTCACTAATTTTATTTTCATAATCCAAATTAAGGCCACATATACAGTCACATTTTAAAATTCGTAAGGCCAAAATTGCTGTAGGCTGAAATCCACATAAAGCATCTTTAAATGTGGTTGATGGTAACCAATTTATATCTCCTATTAATTTTCGGTAATTTAAATCACCTGAAAATATAATTTAATTTTGTTATGCAGTAATACCATATATTTTATAAAAAAATATGGTATTAAATAAATACTAATATAAATTGAAATAAATTAAATTTTAAAAAATATATTTTTCTGAAAAGGTGAAACTTTTGTAAACAATACATACCTTTAAAAATAATTAATTGGGAACAAGATAATTTATTGTACAACTCGGAATTTTCAGTGGCCATTGCAGAATAACAATGTGGCAAAGTCCAAAAGTCCTCACACTCAATTACAAATTTACCTGTGTTAAAAAATAAAAAATATGTTAATATTCAAGCAAATATATCTAAATATAATAATAATAAAATTCACCAGTTTTGTAGTAACTGTTCCATTTCTTGCCAATATCTTGAAGGGACTTTGAAGAACATTCATTCTGTAAACGATTTAGAAAATTATCAAAATCTGGTTTTGTCACGTCTGACACAAACCAAGGTATAGATTTCCCGTGAAAAACAACAACGTCGGCTAATCCATAAGTAACAAAATAGTCTGCCAAACATAGATCGGTAAAAAGTTCATAAGCTGAATTATCCATAATAATATCTGAAAATTAATACCATAATTTTAGTAATAAATTCTAAGAATTATGTATACAAATATATATATATAAATATAACTTTATAACACATTAATGATAATCAATTAACTTTCGAATTCATATACTTAGAACTTAAAACCAAGGAAACAGTTAAAAAAAATATGGTATATTCACTGTAAGTTATTCAAATTTAAGTATTTAAATTTAATAATTTAATACAACCATTTATTTTGTTCTATTAATTTAAAATTATTCGTATAAAAATGCTATTAATCGTAAAGATTAAACACTAATCAAATAAATACAAGATATTAAAAATTATTTCTATTGTTTTTTTTTTTAATTAAGTAACTAAATTTGATATCTGAATTATCACCGCTACATACTGAATTTAATTAATTATTTAAATTAAATTTAAAAATTAAATTACTAAAATATAATTCCAATATTATTTTTGAATTTATTATGCAGTTAAAATTATTCCAAGTTGTAATTAACAATTTTAATCAAAATAAATATTCACCAATTATCTTAGGGTTTTTATTGTTTGATTTATTCAAAAAGTTCCATGTTTCTTCTGAATTATCAGCTAAAATATATTTATCTAATGACGCTATAGCTTCCAACGGATCTTCGGTAATATTTTTTGATTTTCCAATATTAAGAGATAAATCAAATCTATTACCCCACAAACAAATCTGCAATAGAATAAAAATATATGTATATATGAACAACAGTTGTTTGTTTTTAGTAAAATACTCATATAATATACATACATACATATTTTAAACATAAGTAACTAATAAATAAATAATAAAATGCTGAAATGTGTAGTGTAAACAAAATAACCATGTACAACTCACCTTTAAAATTTGCATGAAAAGAACTTTTAACTTTGTATTATCTAATTCTTTTTTAGAAAGTTGTGAGTTTAAAAATTCAGCAATGGTAATCATAGTTTTCTCAGATTCAGCAAAAGCTTTGTACTTCATTTGTTTGAAAGGATCATAAGTTTTTAATGTTTCTCTGTTAACACCAATATATTATATTGTAAAGTTGAATCCAAATAAACATTTTTTATGGTAAATTTACTAACGTTTTTTCAAAAATTTCTTTTATTCTTATGTACAAATAATTTTCAGTGAAAAGCCATTCTGTTTCAAACCATGTTACTGAGGAGTCCGTTTTAAATCTATTATCTAATATTTGGTTCCATATTAATAATAATGTAGAAGTACCATCAACTTTCCGCAGAGATTTATTGTCTAACAATTCAGAAAGTAATAGTTTTAATTCCTCCACTGTATTATTTACTTCATTTTTGTTATCCTAAAAAAAAAGATCAAATTATATAGAGAGAAAAAAAATTAGTTACTGTATCAACCAATGCAATTAAAATAAATTACTATAAAAAATAATAAGGTGGTATCCATACATTTTATGTATAAAAATGTTGGTTTGGTTAATTGACACCCAGCGGTTTTGTCGATATTGAACTTCCTGCACCCGATATTTTTAGAACATGGACAATTGATACTAAGCGATTATGATTACGATAACTACGAGTAGGTGCCTACAACCTATAGTCTATAGTTATTAGTTACTATTTAGTGCCTGTACTCTGTATTGTGTTCGTTATCCAACCATTTTAACATTTTAATTTAAAAGTTATTCATTCAATATGAACTCAGAATGTCCAATAGATAAAATTGAAATAATACAAAATTAATTATTAATGATTACATTTATGTTTTTCAAAAATAAGTGGATGATGGACTAAAGCATTGTAAAGGTAGTGTAACGACCAATTCATCCAAAACCAAAATTTTAAAATATCAACAACATTCTCAAAATGTATTTATATATCATTAATGTATCATATGCAATCAAACATTAAATTTTGATATAATAAGCTTATTATTAATTATTATACTGTATTATATTATATGCATTTATATTCGGTGTCAATTGTCCTATTATTGGGTGTCATATGTCTCAGGTATTAAATATACTAGATTCAAAAATGTTTTATTATAATAAAAATAAATTAGTAACTACCAAATTAAATACAATATAAATTAAACAAATATATTATGTAATAGTTTTACCAAATCAAATTTTTCTGCTTTTAATAAATTTATGATTTCAGAAAACACAACCGGCATTCTATTCTTTAGTGAATGATAACCAAAGCTTCTGAAAAAATAAAAAAACACACAAAATAATTAGTGAAGAGTACAGTTAAAAACAAAAATACTTACTTTTTGTACTTTCCTCTCAACGGTTCATTGATTGGAGTGTTTTGATCCAAAAACTGATGAATGTTGTTTACCATTTTGTTGTGAAAAATGTATTATTTTATTTATTTATATGCTATAAATCAATAATTAAAATAATATTTAAGTAACATCTATTAGAAACAACATTTATTTATTTATCCTGTGGTATATTTTAACATATAGAAACAACATTTATATATAGTAATATACTGTAACAATACCTATGTAAAGCCAAATATAAATTGAAAATATTTAGGGAATCGAAAAATGACCAAATATCTTCTGTATCACAATTCATTAAAAACCAAAGATAATATTTTTTCGATTGTTATAAAGTTATATTTCCATTCTAATTTTGATTTTATGTAGTCAGCAAAGATCTATGGGAGATAGTAGACCGTTGTACTCGATGACCTCTGCGTCCTATTAACTATAGAGCCAAGTTAAAGACAAGGACATCGGGCATGTGAACAGCTACGTCCGAAAACTGTGTAGACTTAGTTTAAGAAAATTAATTATGAACAAAATAGGTATTATGTTTATGATATATTTGATATTCGTACTGTTAATTATTATATTATCAGTCTTTATTCTCAGGTGAACCGGCTTATTGATAACTGATAAATACAGTTACAAGCACGTTTATAAGCAATGGTCAGCAATCTTTTTGGACCCTTGGGCTTCATTCACAAATTAAAGAGGGTTCGCGGGTCATGCAATACAAAAATTCACATGATACTCAATGAAATTTCCTAGTTTTGGAATTTAATGCGGGCCATATAAAAAGTGACTTGCTGATTATAAGGAAAATTATTTAAGTGCAATGATCGTTTTTCAAAAAAATATATATAATTCGAGTGAGTACGGGGAATGCGGATGATTCATTATATCGTAGGAAATTAAAAATCCATATGTTAAGTAGGTACATAAAAACTTCCAGTTATATTTAACTTGCACTATTTCTTGTCAGCGCCGACTCGATGGATTTTAACATGGACAGGGGCGCAGTTTCAATGAAAAAACTGGGGGTGCTGAAGCCCTTTTATCTTTTTCATGTTCCTTAATGGTTATAGACACCCGAAAACCGTACAATTCAACAGTTACTAAAATATTTGGTAAATATATGAATACTTCTAAACTTAAATTGTTTACTTTAATTTTATATTTTTATTGCACGTATAACGAATTACCTGTCTGCAAACACAAATGTTTTATCACATGATCACTTTTAGATTCTGACTGAAGCGAAGAATATTATGGTTTTATAATTATGTTTGTATTTTATTTGTTTTACATTTACATTCAACTTTTTCGGATAGAAATACTGGCCCAAGAATTTTTTCTAGGACTTTTTTAGATTTTAAATTGGAACTTAAGATAAGTCATTTTTTTAAATCATAATAGTTTTTCTAAAAGTGAGGAAAAAACTGTCCTGTAATGGTAAAAATACGCTGTAAATGAGACTTTCACATTTCAAAATGTAGTTATTTAGTCATAATTCCAAAAGTAATATGGCTAGAAACTTGAAACTTTTGCCCTATAGCAAAGAAATTTTTTTTTTCGTATTGTGAAATATTTTTGTATAAAATATTTATTGTATAAAAATTTATATATTTATACAAAAAAAACTCAAAAACTATTATGTTTTTCTATACATAATGAGTAATGAGTATTTAAACGTAAATTAACATAAACACATTTGGGGGTGCTAATTTCGAAAATGGGGGTGCTAAGCACACTCAAGTCCCCCCAAATTGCACCTATGAACATGGACGTAATTTAAATGTATATTATGTCTACGGATTTTGTGTGGAATTCTGCGGGGCTCCACATATATTTATTTTATTTTTTTGTAATTTCATTTATAATTTTGATTTTCGTCGATAGTATCAATAAATAATACTTTTTCGCAACAATATGAGATTATTTAAAATTAAAGTGATATTTGTGGAACAGTATGCGAGGCCCAGTGCAATCACGCTGCTCTCTACAGGGCACTGGTTTTAGTAGGTAGTGATGATAAATTTAAAACAGTACGTTAAGTATTGATTTGTGACAAAGATCTAGATTAATGATATTAATCATAATCAGGGATCGGGACATGCAGTACTTAAATTCATTAAAATAAGTTCTTAAAAACCAGGTACGGCACTAAAATTTTTTTCCAGGGTGGCAGAGTGGGGCAAATATTTTTTTTACATGGGCTTAGGTTTTTTCAATAAATACTGAAATTATTTAAATAAAATATAAATATATTCGAATCATATAACATAATTTAGCTATTATTATTTTTGTGACATACAACCAAAATTAGATGAAAAAAAATGGTAATAAATCACAAGTAAATAAGCACCTAATTATAAAATCAAAAATAAATAAATCTATATATTATTATAAAAAAAGTCTAACTTTGACTTTTGAGTAAATAATAATAATATTGTTTATGAATTTTCCAAAAAATAAAATGTAATTGATATTTATAAATATTAAACAAAAAATCAGGGTTTGGTCAGTGGCCTAACGTCATCGTTTATAATCAGATATGCAAAAAAGCAAAAATAATCAGAATAACAGGAAATAAGAATTTTTTTAAAAAATCATTGAAAAAAGCATTTTCAAATTTCATAATTGAACGAATTATAACACTTTCTCAAAACTCTGCTACATTTTATGTCAAACCACAAAAATAAGCAAATGCTTTTAGTCCTGAGCCTTGATTATAATTATCTATAATTCAATGTCAAAAGACTTAATTTTAATAATTTTAATCTATTCATTCAATATTCCAATTTTGACAAAAATCAATCCATTTCAGTTTTAATTTGTAAAAACACTGCTAAAATATAAAAAATCGACTAACTGAATTTTCACTAATGTCAAATTTAAATTTATTTTTCTAGCACTTAGATATAAAAACATCAAATTACAATCAAAATATAATTCCTGTTTTTTGTCATTTTAAAAATAAATTTTATATTTTATTCAATCTTGCATACAAATTTTTTTTAATAAGATTTTTAATTTGTTACAAATTTTGTTAGATTAATTAGATTCAATGCAAAAACATAATAATAGCTTTTATAGTCTGATAAAAATAAATAATGTATTAATTAAACATTGGTACTTATTATTTTTAATTTTAGATTCAGTTTCTGTTCGTAATTATATCTCTTAGTCTTTAAATATATTTTAAAGGTAAATTTGCCAATGATAAACTATACATTTTACTACTATTATTTAATAATTCATTATATTTATGTATTAAAATCTGACATCAATCATGGAATATACCATTTATTTTATCACTAAAACTTACAGTTTATAAATTTCAGTTTAAATATTGTTGCAAACAAATTATAAGACAATAATAAAATATTTTATTGACTATATCATATAATATATTGATTAGTTAACTTCTCTTTGGACAATGACATTTGTTAAATTATAATTAAATAATACAATTCGTACAAATGTATTATACTAATACTATTTTCAGTTTTTAAGGATGAACTTAGGTTGATTAAAATGAACAATAAATATTAATAAAAGTTTATTTTTAATATAATGGTAAGAACATTTTAATAATTTTTAATTTTTATCAACAGAATACAAATAAACTAGAGTTACAACAATAATTATGGTTTGAAACTACTTTCTCTTTCAATCCAGTCTTTTTTCAATGTTTCTAATTTTTTTCGTTTCCATTCTTTTTGAGCATTCTTTTTATCATTAATTATTTTTTTTTGTGCTTCAATTGAATCATTACCATTCTCTAGAGTGTCTAATTTTAAAACCAGTTTTTCTCTAGCTAGCTTTCTGTTATCTTCAACACATCTTGATTCATGGCATTTAATCACAATTCCAGAAGGTATATGTTTTAATACAACACAATTTGAATTTTTATTGACGGCAGATCCACCCGGACCACTACCTTTCACAAACATTTCTTCAAGATCATTTTCATTTAAAATAGGAAGCTTAGAACGATCTATAGTTTGTTTTAGATTTGATGGAGTTAAGCTTATCCTTCTTATATTAGTTACACTAATCTTAGTGTACAAAGGTAATGATCTGCACAGTAACGAAAACATGAGTGTAATGAAAATATATACTTTAAATGATTGATTTTCTTTTTAATAATTCTTGCCCTTTCTGTAACAGATATAAAATAAAAAAAATTTAATGTATATTAATTATTACAGCAATCTTCTTTTAATTCACCTTCACCTTTCTCCCAACTATTTGGAGTTGGCCTCCTTCCCTTATTCTAAACCTCTATTCGTCTCGATTTTTTATATCCCCTATGCACACACCAACAGCCTTTGTATCATTCACAATTATATTCAACCATCTTTTTTTTTTGTGTTCCTCTTTCTCTTTTCCTTTCAATGTTCATTTTTATAACCACTTTTATTGCTTTTGTTTTATATTGACTCATCACATTCCCAAACCATTTGTCTATTTTCTCTCATCTTGTCCACTATCGATGCTCTATGTATATACTACCTTCCTCATATTCATTCCTTATTCTATCTTCTCTTGTCACTTCACTCATCCATCTAAGTATTCTCATTTCCGCAACAGTCATACTCTGTTATATTCTTCTGTCAACCACCCAACACTCAGAACCATATAGCATAGTTGGTTTTACTACACTCCTGTAAAATGTAACTTTCAGTTTCATTGGAATTATCTTAAGACATAAAACCTGACGCTTCTCTGCATTTCATCTAACTGCACTTAATCCTATTTTATACATCCATGCTAAAGCCCTGTCCTTTTTCTACAAATGTTATGCCTTATATCTACTAACTATGAACACCCATTTTTTATTAGAATATATCCTATGTAGCTTTTGATAGCAGTAAAACAAAAATTACATAACATAACGGTATAAAAGTTTTAAATTAAGTTAAATATTAAGTTTACAATTTAAATTAAAAAAACTGTATAAGAATTAAAAAAATCCAGGAATATTAGATTTAAGTTTTGTTCTGGTAACAAAAAATATTTACAAATGTTTTAAAATCAAGATAAACGTTGTAAGAGTTATACAGTAGCCTTTTATGTCGATTTTTCATAAATATCATGATGGAAATAATTATTTTAGTATTTGTTTATTAAAATAACTTAACCAAAGAAAAAAAGTTATAAATTTAATAATCTTAACTAATTCACACAGGTGTATTACCTGCTTACAAGATGCTAACTAGTTACTAAAAATATTACAAGCACATCTACAAAAATATATTTAATTTATTTAGGTATATATGTAAAAAGTAAAATGCAATGTGATATAAAGATATTTTTAAAATAATATCTATAAAAGTGATAGAATACATAATCAACAGCAAGTTTTTTAAAATTTAAATTATTTGAACGTAGAATTATAAAAATTATGACGTTGAAATTTAAGCATACAAGGAAATTCTTCATTCATTTGATTACTTTTGAAAAATAACTTAGCTTATTATTAAGTCGATAACTTGAATAGGTACATTGTACATTATATCCAATTTAATGTATCAAATCAAGTATTTGGTCCGACATATTTTAGATAAGTTTGTAGCCGCACTAGTATAGTGAACTTACATCGTAGAAAAATTGAATCTCATCGGGTTTAACTAATTCTTTATTATCCAAAAATTCTTGTTTTATTCGACTTTTATAATAATTTTTGTCGGTAAGTTTTAAACTACAGCCATACTTCAAAAGTTCTTTATACAATCGCTTTACTTGTAAACGAGTAATAGTCATATCTAAAAAAATAAAAAATAACGAAAATAAAATAAAAATAACCGTCGTCCGTTAAAAAAAAAAAAAAAAAAAAAAACGCATTGCAATAATAGAATTATTTTTCGCGACGACCTCGGGGGTTCACTTACCTTCACCACGAAGGGTTTCAAAACATTTACGCAGACGTATCGGAGAGCGAAACGGTCGGCCAAGGATTATTACGGGGGCGATCAGTGAGACGCACAAGGCTGACAAACGGGCGAGGCGGGTCAACGCGAACACCAAGTACGCGATATGTGATCGGGAGACCGATCCGAGATCCAAGTTGCAACAGTCGGATCCACGCGAGGCAGTCGGACACGGAGCAACCAACGTGCCTGTGCTGTCGGCGTGATACGAAGAATGATAAGGATTTAATCTGTCGTACGATAAGGGAGCGGGAGGGATCAATACTACCAACAATTTGGACGATTCCTCTCCGTTCGCGGATATAGAAAATAAGTGGTTGCGCCACAGAGTCGCGTTTTTACCCGGGAGGCAATTGCCTCGGGGCGGCAAATTTTTGAGGATCAACATAAAATAAAAAATATATATGTATAATTTTTATGACTGTATAACTATAATACATATTATTTCTATTACATATGTTATTTTTTATTTTGAATTGCAATTTTTTTAAGGGCGGCATATTTTAATTTGCCCCGAGGTTGCTACACAGCTTAACGCGGCACTGGTTGCACCCCAGAGTAGATGAGATTATCTTTTCTGTAGTTGCGCGACGAGCTTATAGATTATATAATACGGATGGAGCCATACCCTATCTCACCCGTGTAAACAATTTAAAACAAATATAAGCGACAAGTCTCTTCGAGATACGTTGTCAACGCATATGCAAGTATACTCGTCGCATATTTATTTTATAAATAAACGCGGTATATAATATTCAAATAAAATAGAATATTACTATACAAACTGTACGAAAACAAATGTAGGAACAGCTGTATGTTTGTGGATTTTGAACAAAGTTTATTAATTAAGTAGTATAAGTAGAATAACATACCTACGACTTTTTTTTTGTCGTCATTATCATCATCTTTACAAAATATAATTGACAGCGCTCTTAATCCAGCACTTTTCTTTTCGAGATTGTATTCGAACATTCTCGAGATATTATGTTTCATATTGTAGGCCGTTTTTTGGTCTACTAAAACCTAAAACTAAAACTAACCTGTCTTATGACGGTCTAAACCCAGCTCACGTTCTTTTAGGCGGGTGAACAATCCGACGCTTGGCGAATTTTGCTTTACATTGATAGGAAGAGCCGACATCGAAGGATCAAAAAGTGACTTTGCTATGAACGCTTGGCTACTTCAAGCCAGTAATCCCTGCAGTAAATTTTTCGACACGTCTAGCTCAGTGACGTAGCGTAGGTTTTAAGAAAGTGTAAGCAGAAAAATTAATTTATTGGAAATTTATTAGTAATTTTATAGTCAACTACATTTAATTGATAAAAAATATATACAATTTCTTTTAACTTTATTTTATAACATTTAACAATTTATGTATAAATTATAATTTTATTTAAATAATAAATCAATTATTCTTGGTGTTTTGGTAAAGTCTTCAAGAACGTCGCCATAGAAAGAATTTGGAACCACAAAAATCACAAAAAGTTTGGTAACTTTTTGCCTTTTAGATCCAGATTGTGTCTCGGAGTTTAAATAATGTTTCGATTTTTCCTAAGTACTTAGGTTTTTCCATATTTCAAGGTTTTTTGGCTATTTGGCATATATAATGTATACTTCAATTTCATCGGGTATATTATCCATAATTTTAGTGTTCCTATGATTAAACTGATGTAGGTACATTTTTTTTATGGAAACATTACGAAAGATTGAATGTTTGACGAAAAAATAAAAATGCGATCGTTTATAATTTATCATTATACGCAGTGTGTCGGAAAAGTTCCCGGACTTTCTCTCCAGCGTCTGTACAAATGAAGCAATCTATCAAACAAAACTGATACCGTGTAGCTACATTTATCAATAGTATTATTACAAAATTGTATCACTTTCCGTTCAGTATTTAACGAGTTAAGACGTATTTGAGGAACGCGTATTGTTGTCGCATGTGCAAATCGCGAAACGAAGGAAAAATTCACCCGGATTGAGCCATGCGGACGACAGACGTTTCGTCAGAGGGTCGTATTGGAAGCACCAACTCTCGTCACCGGTAACAATTGATGAAAGGAAGTTTGGATCCGCATCACAAGTCATGACAACAATCGACGCAACGCTCCTTTTGCTCCGGCGTTAAAAAATGAAGAACAAAAAGCGAGACTCCTTTCTACGGTGCATTTTTTCCTTCAAAATCATCGTCACACTATCCTTACTAATATTCAGTTTGTCTGATAACATTCTGAAAGATCTTGGTTTAGCAGCGCGCGTACACGAGCCTCGTTTTCGTCGGTAACAGCTGTTGTGAGCCGGCCACTTCTTTCATCGTCTTTTATAAAGGTATTACCTTCCTAAAACCGCTCGAACCACGTATAAACAGAAGAGCATGATACACCTTCACCAAAAGTAGTGTCAATCATTTTTCGTGTTTCCTTAAAACTTTTTTTGAGTATAACACATAATTTAACTGCGGAACGTTGTTCGAATTTTTCCTCCATTTTGCGATTTGCACATGCGACAACAATATGCGTTCCTCAAATACGTCTTAACTCGTTAAATACTGAACGGAAAGTGATACAATTTTGTACAAATACTATTGATAAATGTAGCTACACGGTATCAATTTTGTTTGATAGATTGCTTCATTTGTACAGGCGCTGGAGAGAAAGTCCGGGAACTTTTCCGACACACTGCGTATAATGAAAAATTATAAACGATCGCATTTTTATTTTTTCGTCAAACATTCAATCTTTCGTAGTGTTTCCATAAAAAAAATGTACCTACATCAGTTTATTCATAGGAACACCAAAATTATGGATAATATACCCGATGAAATTGAAGTATACATTATATATGCCAAAAAATCTTAAAATATGGAAAAACATGCAAAATAGAACTTCCCATATTTACCTTGAAATGGATTTTTATGTTATCTTGTATTAAATACAACTTAACAATATTGATAAACAAATGTATGAACATATATTTATTATAGTCATTATTTCATTCAGTTTAACTGTATTTTGTGTATATAGAAGATGGAAAATATGAATAAAATCAAAAATAGAAATTGTCTCAACTTTGAGATGCTCGTACTTTAACAGTTTAACAACGGTTTTTTGAATTTGAAGAGCGGAGGCTGTTTTAATCGTTATTGTAATACATGCGTGCGCACGTTTGTTCAACAATATCTAACAATAATATTTTAAATACATTTTACACATTTCTTTTTGTAATAGTTATCCAATACGACGAAAGAAAGACCGTCTCCGATCTACAAACTAATAAATTAGTCAATGATTTTGGCGAAAATATATCTTCTATATAAATAGTGTATTAGTAAGTGTCGATTTAAGCTCTATGTCTCTGCCCCCCCCCCCCTTTAGAAAATCTAAAATAAAATTATGTCATTCGTTTGTGCTGGTTTATGCTTTCAATCGTGTCATTTATGCTCAATTCCTTCCCGAGAAATACAACATTTTTTTGTTGAATTGAAATTACTCTTTTTTTTTTTTTGGCAAACCAAATAATTTACGGATATGCACATACTAAATTATATACTAAAAAGAAAAAAATTATTATGTGGACAGTTATCATCAGCGACGCGAGAAGAAAATTATTATTTCTACAAAAGGAAGTAGCTGGGGTACATTTCATTCCCTAACTTTCAAAGTTGTATTTTTCGGGAAAGAGTTGAAAAAAAAACACAAAAAACACAAACGACGGGATTGAAATCACAAACTAGCACAAACGAAGTACGAACGAATGACATAATTTTGGTTTTGAATTTCCGTGGTGGCGGGCTAAGCATGTCCCCCTCACACTTTTAAAGTCGGATAGCTTGAAGAGGGGTTGAACATAAACGATGTGACTGAAAGCACAAACCAGCACAAACGATTGACATAATTTTGATTTTGAATTTTTAAAGTGGGGGGGCCAGGAACATAAGGCCGTCGATTTATTCACACTTAAAATTTAAGTACGGTTACCAAGTCTAGGGAGGTTTTTAGTTGTTAGGGGGGTGAAATAGACTGACCGATCTCGAGTAGATATAATAATAAATTCAAATCAGTTTTAAATAGTATTATCGCATTACTACATCGATCAGTATGATGGAATAAAAATTGGATGTTTGGCTAAAATAACTGTCCGTCACCGATCCCTTTAAGTATTAAAATTCAACCCGTGCTTACTATATGTCGAAAACTTTAAAGACTGTTTCCTACCGTAGGTTGGGATCTGAGTCATCGTTTTTAGTAATTTAGTGTCCCACCCGTATACAGAGTTACTCGTACGGTAAAATCTGTACTTTTGATTCGGCGCCAATTTACTTCTCGTTTTTAAATAATGTTCTCGACCTTCTCCGTTCTGGCTTATACCTGCGGCATATTCAACATCACGTATTATTGTGTATTAAATGCATATTATTACCGTGCAATGCGGTATGACTATTAATATGTTTTTTCGATTTGATTTGTCATAAGTAGGGCTCATAACTTATAGCTCTAAAAAAAGTAGTTATAAGCGCTATAATATGCTCTTAAAAATATTAATATAAGCGCTTAAATAAGCACTAAAAATACAATAATATAAGAAAAAAAAATTTCGTGTAAAAAAAATGTTCTTAAAAAATTATTAAAAAAACATGATGTGAAAGAAAAAAATTTAAATTCTTATTATTAAAATTCCGATCGCGTCGCTATATGATATAAATAAGTATATAATTTAAACCATAAGAAAAAGATAATTAGTTAATTAACATGAAATAATTACAAATATTAAAATTAATACTACTGTAATTACTGGTTATCATAAAAAGCAAAATAGCAAATAACAAATTTCTAAATATGCAAGAATAAATTTGCAAAATAGCACTTAAACTTTGAAATATACAAAAGTATGCAACATACATTTTTGCATTTAGCTTCTTAGTTATCTAAAACAAATGTATAGCTCATGTAGGTATTTCTAGAACCTCTCAAAAATAATTGTAAGTGCTATAATTTATGAGCCCGGGTCATAAGCATTCGGAATTTACCGTTACAATTATTGGTCATGTAGATATGAACCACGCAATTTCATTATTTCATTATTTTCTTATTTTTGTGAACAACATTTAAAAAACGCCACGTTTTATAACAATGTTTGATTTAATGTGATTAATGTTTACGGTTATAAGTAAATTATGAATAATGAGAAATTCGTTTAGGTACTATTTGGTCTAAATGACAAGATTTTCTAAAAAATGTATACTGCATTAAGTTTGTAAATAGTATATGTAGTGTATTATAAATAAGTTAAGAAAATACACTTTGTTGGAAAATTAATAATGCCCAGGTTCTGAATGAATTTTATAACAATAAGCTATAATATTCCATACAGGATTTAAAATGAATTTGGCAATATATATATATAATATAATCATGTGTTATAAACCTAAATATATTAAATATTTCTTTTTGCAAATAATGTATATTATATTTGATAAAATGTTACTATTTTTTAATATTGGCTAATTTGGATTCACATAAATCCTACGGATATAGGACACACTTATGTTTAAAAACCTAAAAATAATAATCATAGAAACCAAAATTTTTACTGAATGCTAAAAATTGATTTCTTAGATATAGTAGGTATAATTCCAAAATAATTTGACATTTTTCGTTATGTAGTATTTTTTTTTTTTTTTTGCTATTAATAGATATTTGTATTTTTTTTTTCTTTCAAATTTCATAAAAAAATTTTATTTTAATAAAAAAATATTCAAATTGTAAAAAAAAGTTCTTTACACGTTAATACGTCATTCTTACAAAAAAATATACTGTATACTTGTATGTTGTCACAATTTTGTTTAAAAGCGTTTTTTAAACGTAGACAAAATTTGATAACGAATCAAGAAAGTAAAAAAATGAACTTCCGAATGTATGAATTACAAAACCACTTATTTTTAGAATCGATTCTTCCTTTTGATATCCAAAAAATGGAATCTCCGAATAAAAATAAACTGTTTTATATTGTTGGATTGACATTAAGTGCTCTAATTTACCAAAGAATTATTTTACAACGACTTTACCTTTGTACAGTCGATTTTTAACATCAGTAGGTACCGGATACATGTATGATAATGGCTTTTTTTGTCTCTGGTCTTCGGTATTTTGAGACAACTTATTATTATTTTTTTTTGTTCTTTAAGTCTAACATTATCCGTTTGATTTCGATCCTTCTTAATTCAGTATTGTCGTCCAGTTCACCCATTTCGACCAATATTGATATTGGTATTTTTAACTTATTATTCATTTTGAATTTTTGATTTTTAAAGGAGAATGAATTAATGAATACAATTTAAATTGTTAAAGAAATTATTGCAACTAAGTTAAAATTAATTACTGTAATCTGTTAATGAAAATTGTTAGTTGCCTAGTTTTTCAATAACTAAGAAATTTAAAAATGCATAGTTACTATGACTATAATAGCTAGTATAATAATATGTTTATTACATATATTTCAGATGAAGTCATAGAGGTATTTGATTCATATTAATTTAAAAAAATTATAATAATCGATAAATGCTTTTTGATTACCTCCTAGATACATTTATTTTTATTAGTAAACTTTCCTTTTTCGTCTTATCCATGCCTTCAGTAGCTTACTGACGTTTCAGATCCATAGCAGGCTTCACCTTCGAATGTATGACAATCGGAGGCGTCATTTAAACTTTTGAAATGGTAGGGCAGCTTATTAAATCTGCCGACTTCATAATATTTAAAAAAAATATGGTTACCTATATATTTAAATATTTAATATTTATGGACGATAGACTTTCATTAAATATTTTTTCGGAACAAAACATGTAAGGATTAGTAAAGATGTCATGATGATAAACAAATAACATGAAACATTTCGATTTACCAAATTAAATAATAACATTAAAGATAGTAATTTATTAATTTACTTATCCTACAGGATATATGTTACCTATCAATAGGTTTAATGGAATAATAATATAAATCTAATTAAATACTTATAATTTTATTATTTGTACGTTTAATACTTTACAGAACTTTTTTACAAAAACATAAATTGTACCTCAAATATAATGTACCGTAGTTTGGGAGTAAATAGGAACGAATTTATCATTTTTTTTTTTTTTTTTACATAGATTTTGAGCTCAATAATTATGGTATCGATATCACGAAAACTGTTTTATAAAGATCATATTTATAGAAATATATAATATACCAAAAATAAAATTTATGAGGTTCGCGCAATAACGATTGTCGTAAACCGGGTAAGAGCCAGTGTTTCCCAACTTTTAATAAACCTTGAACGTGTATTTAAAAAGAGAATATTGTCTGATTTCTGAGTACAAAACAGAAAATGAAAATTTACTATTTACCAATTTGAGCGTTTGATCATCGGACAAAGAATTGTCGACTTTTCGAAACGTCTTAGAGTGGGGCATTTGCCACAGTCTGCCCCCAATGACAATATTATGTTTATTGCCTTATCGACGTGATACCAATTGCTCTAGTTGTTTCCAATCTATACTGTTATTAGTCTGTAACAGTAATTCGACGAGGTTATCGTAAGATAATCCTTAATCGCCGTCGAATCAATAGTAATTGCCTATAAAGTATGTGTACATAGATGCGCGCGGCATACGACAGGTTTGTGGTAGATCGCGTAAAACGTATAGTGGACGACTGGTGTGCGGCAGACCGCGTACGACAAGTGTGCGACGTTTTATCTGTAACACTTGACACGCCCCGACCATGAACCGTATTGGTTCACTACAACGTGCACTATACGAATTATTTTATTGATACTTTTTATTCGTATTCGTTTAGTTTTTATACGTTTTATTCGTCTCAATCCAGTCCGTGCCTCAACCGCATAATAGATTGAAGATTTAATCTGTTCTGTGCTGTAACCACGACTGTGGGCGACGGATAACAACTCCGTGCGGTTTCTTCGATCCGAAGTTGACAACATGACCGTCCCGGGTCCGATGCGAAACGACACGATTTTTCGTGTTATCTACCCATAACCGGTTATACTACCTGTACCGCGGGCGGGACGGTATCACAACGTTACGACCACTGACAACTCACAGGCTTGTTACGTTCTGTGCGCCACGGGCCTTTGCGAGCGATATGCTATCGCCTTATCAGTTATCACCTCCCAACACCGATCAACACAGTGGTCTTATTTTTATTTCACCCGAAACACTTCAATGTTCGCAATAACAATAATAATTAGATTTAGTACTTTTATCGTATTATATGGTTGATTCTCACGTCGCAGTCGGAAATGTATCGGTGGTCCCCAATAATAAAATGTAAGTGTAATCCGCTTGCTATGGATTGTGATTAGTTTCCAAACGAACAATTCGTCTTCTTCTTTTGTACCTATTGTCGTTCAGTTCTTGCTTTTACTACAGTCAGTTGCACGTATCGTTTATCGTCCGATTCTCGAAGTTCTGAGGTTTTAAGGCATCTTCCTTCGGATTTCATTGTTTTCCAAGACATAATCTGTATAGTCGTTAATTGTCTTCTCCTGTATAAAACACTCCTATGGGTCATTTATATATTTTGTCATGTTTCCATATGTCATCTACAAATTGTTGAGTTATATATTTTATTCTACAAAATGTACATATGTATTGAATACACTAAAATTACTAGAAGTTATATTCAATTATTATGTATATATTTAGTTGAATATTTTTGAATATTTGAGTTTAAAAGTAATATATCGAGTTATCCTAAGCACTCAAATGTTGAGTTTTTTTTTTAGAAACTTATTTTTATTATATATATATATATATATATATATATATATATATATATATTATTTATAATTAATATAGATATATTAAAATTATACAGTTATATTGTATACATTTCATGATTAAAAATAGATAATTCTTCAAGCTCGATAGTTAGAGACCTTATTAAATGAAGATGTATTTGTTCTTGCCATTGTTAGACATTTAGTAAAAAACTATTGACCAATTAACAAGTTAAAATAATTATCAATGTGTTAATTATTGTGAAAAACATTACATTTATTTCAGTTGTATTTCAATTACAAAATATTTAAAAATACTTTAGGTATTTTAAATTTTAATCTGAAATCATTTTAGTCAAGTTTAAATCAGTGATCAGTTATTAATTACATCAAAATATCTTATTTACACAATTATTTCTTTCTAAAATTATGTCTTAAGATATGTTTTGTGTTTTGATGTATCATAATCTATTATTCTATTATTGACCTTCTACTTTAATGTATTAGCTTATAAAATATAAACAAATAAATTAATATAGTAAATAAGATAACTAATTTGATTTGCAAAATTAATATGTATGTAGTCATATCTGACATATATTTGTTTTAAAATATTTTTTAATTTATTGCCTCATATAATTAGTAATCTCCTTCAAAATTAAAGTAGGCTGAACAATAGATTAAATTAATCTAATTAATTAGAAATTAGTGGGTATAAATTAGTTAAATATATAACTGAATGATTATGTTTAATTTACATTGTTGTCATAATAGTATATTGTCTACTTCTTCATTAATTTGATTTAAATTTGAGAAATGATCAAATTTTCTAAAACTGTTTTAGGTATGTGCTTATATACAGTAAATGCCGTGTATAAGACTCATTTTGGGACCAGCATTAAATGAGTCTTTTAATCAAATGAATCTTTTAGGCAAAGTTGAAAAAGACAAACAAAAATTTGAATTAATTATTAATTTTATTTTGCCTTTTTGCTTTTACTACAATACATCATATTGGATATTATATCATTCCGATAATTTTGAAATATGATATATATATATGTATATATATATTTAATTATGTCATAAACCATGAATGTATAATAAAGGCTTATGACATAATTAAAACCAGTAATAAGTAATAACCAACACAAAAGTTAATTTTTAAATATTTTTTTTTTTTGAAAATTTAGTCTTAAAACCAAAATTGTATTAATGTAATTAAATACATCTGCACCATTTCTTATGATTTTGAGTCTAATAAGTAGCTGAAACTTATATCCATGAGTCTTATAAGCGGTGTCTATTGTATTATATATTTTGATTATTTTAATGTGTTAACTATTAAATTAAAACCAAAAAAACTTGCTGACCTTTTTTATAAGAAAAAAAATATTTTTTGTGTGTTATAATTAATTTTATTTATTCACTAAACTAATAAATTATATTATTTAAAATTCAGAAATATGTTTCTCTACAAACATGGAAAACTTACCATTAACAAGCAATGTACGAAAAGATCTCCCTATAAAGCCTTCTACATCCTATCAGTCTGTTAAACAGGTATTAAATAAAAGTTAAGTAGAAATTGCTTTTTTGTTGTGGAATGTGATTGTTAAAAAGTAGTCTGATTTTATTTTATTTGTCATTGTATTTTGTGATATATTAAGCTAATAGTTTTTAAAATATTAGTTTTGATTCTTTCAGTGAATAATGTTAATTTGCTTAGTGCTGCTTTCTATTAAATATAAACAGAGAATAATGTATATATTAAACATTCGTATCCAGTTTATCTGTATTTGTACTGTCTAACTTTTTAATGGGCGTTGTTGAATGATCTATATAAATATAAAATATCTTAAATGCGATGTAGTTGGTTGATTTAAAAGTGATTTTTGAACAATAAATTTCTTTAAATATTTTTTTATTTTTATTTATACATATGTATTCATACGTATTAATTTTTATTTTTTTAACATTTACGTCTATTATTATATAAGCTAATCTCATGTTTATCAATTTTGTTCATAAGTTGTATACTCATGTTAGTATTTATATTGTACACGAGTTAACATTTTTTATGAAAAAAAAATTCTGAAATTTAAATCTATATTTTAATTTTTATCAATTAATATATTCTACGACTTGAATATTTTTATAAACAATTCCATAATCTATATTAATTTTAGTATTTACTAAGTTATTACTTTTTATGTATGACAAACTGAAGGGTTAGGTTAATTAAGGGTTTCATATTATACTTGTAAACCATACTATTCTAAGAATGAAAATGCATGTGTTGGCGATATAGAAGGAATCTTAAGTCTCTATATATTTATCTTGCAATTGTGCTTGACAATTGTTTATTTAATAGAGTAGTAGAGTCTAGAACTAACTAATTTTACTTTTTCTTATTTACCTTATTTACTAGATTTACTACATAACAATAGTTGAGTAATAAAGAACTGTCAAAAAAAACAACAAATATATTATTAAGTTGGCCTTTTTATTCAAAGGATTATATTATCTATTTAATATTTTTTAAATTATCTCTCGTGCGTAAATTTACACTGGTAGGCTTTAAACTAAATTAATAGAACAAATTATTTAAAAAAATGTATAATAAACTGCAATTTTTTTTGTGGATTACATATTTAAGTAGAAACTTACAAATAAATTAAAATAAATCAACAATTAATAAATTAATTAATTTTTATGTTTTTACTTAAACATTTAGTCTACAAAAAAAATTGCAGTTTATTATAAACCTTTTTTATGATCTTTATTGCATTAATTTGGTTTAAAGTCAACCATTATGAATTTATGCATAAGAGATAATTTAAAAAAATATTAAATAGATAATATAATCCATTGGATAAAAAGGCCTACTTAAATATGTTTTGTCTTTTGTCATTTCTTTATTACCCAACTGATTTCCATAAATATTACTTTGTTAATTTATATATATCTCATTAACAATAATTTTTTATTGAATAATTATTTTTCTAGTAAACTCATATTTGATGAAAATAAATTAATTTTTACTTATTTTTTTCTAATTGATGGCCTTTTATATCACGTTTACAAACTAATTTCATTCCAGTGTTCTTTATCCAAGGTTAGTACTCTTCAATGCATTTCTAACTCTATTATTTTTATTACATTTATTATCTGATCTCCCATTTTACACTTGGATGTCTTAATGGTCTTTTATTTGTAGAAACATTGACTTGAACTTAACCATTTTTTAAAATTTTATTTATGGTTTTCTATACATTTCCTACCCATTGTAGTTGTTTTCTTTTATTCACTATAATAATTCAGGTTTTAGATATAATTATTCTAGTTTCTATTTTTTTTTATTATTCTCTGTCCTATATTTCTATTTATGCATAGAGTAAAAATTCTTCTTTATATCTTTCTTTCAAAAATCTGTAGTTTATACTTTTCTTATTTACGCAGAGTTTAGGTTTCATAGTCATAGGTTATTATCATTGGTCTGAGAAGTATTCTTTAAAATTATACTTTTAAATTTTTTGATAATATTCTTTAACTTAATATTTTTTTTTAGATCAAAATACCATCTGTTACCAATTATTGTAAATATCTATTTTTATGTTGAGATGTAAAAGTAATGATGATTTTTAATGATAAATTCATTACTTTATGTATGATAAAATGAATCTATTGTCTTAATAATATTTTCATAAAAATGTTATATATATATTATGATAGCCTAATAAGCCTACTATTACCTAAGTCTACAGTTATCAATGTGTTTAGATGTATAGATCACATGTTTTACTGGTACCATTTGTATTTTAAGTTATTTAAGTAATTTTATTATTTTATTTATTTATCATTTCTGATATTCTTAAACATTTTTCTTTTAGAGATTTCTTTTAGATCACTTATAGTTCGATTTATTCTATGATAAAAATTATAATATTGATTTTAAGCAATTGCAAACAATTAAATTAAAATTTATTAATAATTAAATGTTTATTATGAGGTGTATTTTTGTATAATCAAAGTAATTAAACAGTTAATCTTAATAATAATAATCTCAGATGAGATATCATGCATATACTTTGGGTAATTTTTAGGTGGTGGTTTGTAGCAAGTAGTTAGTTGAAAGCCTATTCAATATCAAATGTTCAAAAAAATTTAATAATATGATAGTAAGTGTCTACACAATTATTTAAATTCTTATTTACATATGTGTTTGGTTTTTAAACATTAAAATTAATATTTAATAACACATAATATGATTACATAAGGTTCCTTTTATTTTGTTACTTAGGCAAAAAAGTTAGCAGCAAGAAATGTGGGAATCAGTTCTGATGATGATATGATAGATATTACAACTTCAGGAACAATGACTGAACGTACTTTAAATCAGCGATCACCAATTAATTTACCAGGTAATGACATATTATACTAATTCATTTTTAGAATATCACATAAATTTAAAACAAAAGAAAATACTTTACCTATTTTAAGTAATTAAGTACATAACTCTTAATGATACTTAATGAGTAAAATATAATACAAAAATAATATTGATACTTGTTTTTGAATGTTTCTAAACTTTGTATTAAATATTTTCTGTATAATATATTAAATCTTTGTTCGTTTTTTTAAAATAATTAATTTTAAAGAAATATTTAAATATTGTTATAACAGTTTCAAACAATATATTATTTTATTTAAATTGAGATTTAACTTTAGTCAAAAATAATTAATTAAATAAAATAAATATTAGTTGAATTATTAATAATTATATAAATACTATTGTTAATCGTTTAAATTTAATTTAATTGTTATTCAGAATATATTTTCAATATTTTCATGATAATTTTCATTATTTAAATTTCATGTTCTGACTATTTTAATATTATTTAATGAATTTACTATATAGTTATTAAAATGTTTAAAAATATATAAAATCTTCAAATATATTTTGGTGCCTCAAATATTGGCTTGTTAATAAATTTAAAAATAAACATGTGTTAGGTACTAGGCTTAAGCTTTGAAAGTTTTAATTTAATAATTAAACTAAAGAATTATTTTTAATCAGATTAAGTGTATAGGAAATATAAGTATGTAAGTTAAATATATTAAATAAAATTAAAACATATATAATATTTATAATTAACTACATTTCACATAGAAACAATTGAGTAAGTGATATCAAACAATATTTATAATAAATATTTTTATAATTTAGATAACTATACATGAAGGTAGTTATAAATAAATCTTTGAATTTAATGCACTTATATCCTAACTTGTTGTGTCATATTATTTAGTTTACATTGAACTTAATAATTATATTTGTGACTTATCTATAAATTAAGTATATTAGATTTTAAAAATATTTTATACTTTAAATTGTTTAATCTATTAATAATTTATATTTATTATCGTATAATATCAGTATTATGATTACTTTACCATATAATAATTAAAGATTTACATTGTTACCAAATATACGTTTCCTTTGTTATCCATAAAAATGTATGTTAGTTTTTTTTTTTTTTTTTTTTTTTGTTTATTTATATTTTCAACCAGTAAAATATTATATGTAGCTTAGAATAAAAATATACAAAATTGTAAAATTGCTCAGATTGTGTAAAATGTCTAATATACTTATAACAATGAATATGTTTCTTTTAAAATTAATGCTTTTACATTATTATTCTTTTGTAATAAAATATGTGTCATTGAAGGTATTGATGTCATATTTGCAGCAACGTTAAATTTTGGTGAGTGCCTTTTAAATATGTTTGTTGAGCAATATTACATTATTATTATTATTTTTTTTTTCTGTTAAACATGTAGTTTGTTTGCACTATAGAATCATTAGAGATTTTATTTTTTATTTAATTCTAGATTTACATTCAGTATTTGTGTTAAGTAAAGTATTGGTAAAAATAAATACGTTAAATAAGAAATAAATATTAACTATTTTCTATGTAATTATATTATATGCTACTTACAAAACTGGTGACTTAAACTTGTAACACTAAGAAATTTTCCCAGTTATAATTATTGAATAGGTTGTAATTTTATGTCAAGTTAGATTAAAATAGATTAAAAAATTATAAACTTAACACTTTATCATTCAGTCAACAGAGAAATTAAAAGAAAAATGATTTATGACAATAATTGAAATATAATACAATATTATACTATTATATAATACATATATATATTATAATATATATATCATAGAACTTATAATTTGTTTAATACAAGTTGTGAATACACGAACAGAATAGTTCTAATTATTGTGTTCATACTATATATACTAATTCATATTATATTTTTGAATAAGTTTTGATAGAAGAATAAACTATAAATTATCATTGATAATATTGTTTGGGTTATTACATAAAATAATAATTTTAAATATTTAAATATTCAAATTAAAAAAATATATATTTACTCATTATCAGAATAATTAGTATTAGATAACTTGAATATTGGGTCTTTGTTTTTAAATATTATAACACTGATTATGTTAAATGTATTTTTGCTCAATAATATAGTTTGACTATAGTTATAATTATATATTAATAGTTTTGCTTTGTAGATAATATTTAATATTATAATTTGCACTAAAAATATATTGTAGTTCAAAAAGTAGTTAAATTATTCAATTGTATTTGGAATATTGTAAAAAAAATATTTCTACATGGTTAAGTACAATTATTTTTTTTATGTAGTTAAATTTTAATTACTTTTTCTCTAAAAATTAAATTTTTACATACATAATTGCTCTCTTGTTTTCTCAATTTTTTTTTTACGTGTAAAATCAGCGACACATTTAAGGGGGGAGGGTGAAAGGGGCAAATTTTTGAGGACAGCAAAATATTCTAACTTTTATTATTGATGTATTCATAATTTTTTTTAATTTTCACACCTTTTTCAGTATTGTTAAGTATTTTAAAGTATATTGATGAGCATATAATAATAAATTAAAGAAATTATACTACACCTAATCACCTAGGTATTACTGAAATAGCAAAATAGGTATATTACATTTATTATTCGATAAGATATAATATTTTTGTTCAATGTTTATAATAAGGACTTGGGTACACAGAACACGGTATTCACTTTAGTGAATAAAATGTTCAACGGAAAAATCATTTTCTACATTAAAAAGAGTCAAAACTTATTTAAGATCTACAATGGGAGAAAATCGTCTTAATTAATTAGCAATCCTTAACATTGAAGCTGATTTAACGAAAACTATTAATTTTAATGATATTATTTAAAATTTTTCTTCTCGAAAGTCAAGAAAAAATTATAAGCTATCAATTATTTTATTATATATAATTACCATTGATTATAGAATAGAATTATATTCTATAATCAATGGTATTACTATAAAATTATCTAATACTATATCGTATTACAACTGATTTATAATTTGTTTATTTTTTTATTGCTTAACTTTGAATTTATTTATACTTTTTTTTTTTTTTTTTTGGGAAGGGCGGAAAAATTATTTTGCCTTGGGGCGCGTATATATTAAATGTCTCACTATGTAAAATTAAGTATGTTAACTAAATATGTATTTTTTTTTAATAATTTTTACTAAAATTTGTCTATCTAAAATACTATGTTGGGGTCTTATATTACAGACAGTTATAACTTATATGTTTAAAATTAGTATTTATCAAAAACAGATGAAACATAACAAAACATTAAGTTATAAAAATTCTTGGATTATTATATCTTATATGTATGTTAATACTTTTAGGTTCTGGTGAAACTGAAGATATTCCTGGGATTGGTCAGTATGAAGATTTTCATACAATTGATTGGCAGCGAGATATCGCAAGAGATCGGCAGAGACATAGATATATTCTGAAACGTAGACAAAATTCATTCATTGATTTGGTATAGTAATATATAGTTATTTTTCAATCATTTAAATAAAACATTCTTTTAACATGGTATATTATAATATGTATAGATTAAATCTGCTCATGATGCATGGTCAGGTTGGCTTTGTGTACTATTGGTGGGACTTGTAACTGGAACTGTTGCAGCAATTATTGACATTGGAACATCATGGATGTCAGATTTGAAATTTGGAATTTGCCCTCAAGCATTTTGGTTGAACATGGAACAATGTTGTTGGTCATCAAATGAAACTTCAATTGAGTTAGATAAAGGAAATTGTTCACAGGTAAAAAAAAAATTATTTATTTATTTAAAATTGAACGGTTCTCTATTATAACCAAGTATAATCATATTTTAAGAATTTTCAAAAGACATAAAAATTTGAATAATTCTATTTCTAATTTAGACAATAATAGTAAATATATTTAAATTATTTATATTAATATACTAACTATATGTACATATATTTCTATATTCAATAATTTTAATTAGGTTAGGATTGATCATCAAACAATATTAGTTATTTTGTTGCTTAAAAATGTTAACTGTAAAAACACACTGGATATTTATATTAGTGATAAATATATATTATAGTAATATTTTTAATTATAATTAAACTTAGTAAAAAAAAAGTCTACATCAAAAAAATGAAATGAAAAAATTATTTTTTCTGTTGAGTTTTGTTTTACCAACTTCATTAAAAAATGATCATGCACTTATACTAAAATAGAAGTATACATTTTCTATAAGTGTTAAGGTACTGATACTTCCATCCTTCTTTGCATAAAATAATTTTTCGAAACCAATGGTATATTTTAAAAATTATATAATAACAATTCACCTATATTTTTCATTTCATACTCCTGTATCTTACCCAACTACCTATTTTTTTTATTATTTTTTTTTTTTTTTTGACATATTGAAAAATAATCATAAACTATATAAAACTGTGAATTATAAAATATTTCATCTAAATAATTATAATATTTATATTTTACAGTAAAATATAGAGCAATATAAAGTTTTGTTAATTTATAATAATAACATTTTTGAAAATACCTAGTTATTGCACTAAACTCTATGTAGTAGTGTCTACCAGATATATCCATTTTTATGATATTTGTACATTGGACAGAATCATATTTTAATAAAAATAAAAATATGTTTAATTTGTAACTTTTGTTATAATTGTTTTACATAATTTAAATAATAAAAAAAACATACTTGTTTCAGTGGCTTTATTGGTCTGAATTTTTAACGTCTTCAAACTATGGAACTTTTGCCTATATTATATCATATTTATTTTACATTGCTTGGGCATTACTATTTGCGGCCCTTGCTGCTGGATTAGTAAGAATGTTTGCACCATATGCCTGTGGTTCTGGAGTTCCAGAAGTAAAGTTTATTTTAAATTTAATTAATTGTTACATAGTTTTATGTTTGTTAGATCTATTGATTTAATTGAAATATTATATCATAGATAAAAACAATTTTAAGCGGTTTTATAATTAGAGGATACTTAGGAAAGTGGACTTTACTTATAAAATCCGTGGGAATAATGATGTGTGTTTCGGCTGGACTAAGTTTGGGTAAAGAAGGACCTATGGTACATATAGCTTCATGCATTGGTAAGTAAAAAATTAACTAAAGAAGGAAAATATTAAAATTTATTTTGTATATTATAACTGTTTCAGGTAATATTTTATCATATTTGTTTCCTAAGTATGGTCGTAATGAAGCTAAAAAAAGAGAAATATTGTCAGCAGCAGCAGCAGCTGGAGTTTCTGTAGCATTTGGGGCTCCTATTGGTGGAGTTCTTTTTAGTTTAGAAGAAGTATTAAATTGAATATGTTTTTATTAATTTATTATTATAATGAAACTGTATTTTATTTTAAGGTTAGTTATTATTTTCCATTGAAAACTTTATGGCGTTCATTCTTTTGTGCTCTTGTTGCTGCATTTGTGCTTAGTTCAATCAATCCATTTGGTAATGAACATTCTGTCATGTTTTATGTGGAGTATCATAGACCATGGATGTTTTTTGAACTCATACCATTTATTGGTTTAGGAATTATTGGGGTAATTAAAAAAATATTTTTTCTTTTAATGTTGTAGTTTTATGTAATAGTTTTACTTTTAGGGAGTTATTGCGACTATTTTTATCAAATGTAATATTAGATGGTGTCGTTTTCGTAAATCATCTATTCTTGGACAGTATCCTGTCTTAGAAGTATTATTACTTACAGCTGTTACTGCAGTACTTTCATATCCCAATCCATATACACGTATGGGAACCAGTAAATTAATTTACCTTCTGTTTAGCCAGTGTGATGTTTCTAGTCATGATGGTTTGTGGTAAGTGCAATTGCTTAATATATTCTACTAATATTATTACTATTATTACTAATATATATCTACTATTATTACTAACTATTTAAATCATAATAAACATTTTTAATTATATTTTAGTGATTATACTACTGAAAAAGCCAATGTGGCTGGACCTGGTGTATACACATCCATGATACTTTTGTCTATGGCATTTATCTTAAAACTAGTCACTACAATATTTACATTTGGTATCAAGGTACAATTCATATATATATATTGATTCAGTTCAGTTCAAATGCTTAAAGACATATTAATATTCTTATTATATAGGTACCTTGTGGATTATTTATTCCGAGTTTGGCTATGGGTGGAATCACAGGTCGTATTGTTGGCATTTTCATGCAACAATTAGCAGCCAAACATCCTCATTTATGGTTTTTTGATAACAGTTGTGGGTTACCTGGCCAAGAAGACTGTATTACTCCTGGTTTATATGCTATGGTAGGTGCTGCTGCTGTTTTAGGAGGAGTGACCCGAATGACTGGTAACAACTTTAGTTATTAAATATTTATAATGCAATGTAAAGAATTAAATAAATCTAACTGGTATAGTTTCACTGGTGGTCATTATGTTTGAATTAACTGGTGGCGTAAGATACATTGTTCCCTTGATGGCAGCTGTCATGGCTAGTAAATGGGTTGGTGATGCATTGGGCAAAGAAGGCATGTATGATGCTCATATTCAATTAAATGGTTACCCCTTTTTGGATAGCAAAGAGGAGATAGTTCACACAGCTCTAGCAGCAGATGTTATGCAGCCTCGGTAAGGATTTATTAGAAATAAATATATTTGCATATATGTATACAATACTTATTTTAAATAGTAAATAATTTCATTGAGTACAATTAGTATTAAATACATAAATATAATATCTATCATATCTACTTGTATTTTATTAATATAATGTAATTTTATACTGTAGCCGAGCTGAAAGTTTGAATGTTCTCACACAATCTTCAATGTCACTAGAAGATATTGAAATATTATTAAAAGAAACTGAACACAATGGATTTCCGGTTGTGATATCTCGAGAATCTCAGTATCTTGTTGGATATGTTTTACGAAGGGATTTGCAATTGGCAATAGGTAAAATTAAATACTAGAATAACAGCAATAATGCATAAAGTATAATGTTGTACATATTTTTAGAAAATGCAAAAAGGACTATTGATGGACTTTTACCTGAGTCTCTAGTTTTTTTTACTGATGTAACTCAACAAATAATGCCATCGCCTTTAAAATTAAAAAAAATTCTAGACATGGCCCCAATAACAATTACTGATCAAACACCTATGGAGACTGTAGTTGATATGTTCAGAAAATTGGGACTTCGGCAGACACTGGTTACACATAACGGGTTTGTAAATTTATTTATATTAGTTTGTTAAATATTATTTATTTAAAATTTTGCAGGAGACTTCTAGGTGTTATAACAAAAAAAGATATTTTGCGTTATATTAAACAAGTTGATAATGAAGATCCCAGCTCTGTTCTCTTCCATTAACAAATCCCTGATATAATATTATGGATATGATATCCATATTTAGCTCAATTTTAACATAATTATTTTATTATATTTTATTTATATTTTTAAAGTTTCGTTTTAGAAACTCAAGTTTTTTTAAAATATTATAATATTAGTTTCCTAGATTATTAGAAATCTAAAATATTTTTTGTTGGGAGAGGTGTATTGTGAATTATTGTTTATTAATCAAATATCAATGAATTTTAAATAAAAATTATACAGTCAAATATAGATATTATTTGCTTGTGCAACATGTTCAATAGTACAATTATTTTTTGAATCAGACTATAATTATTAATTTAGTAATTTACTTTTTAAGAAAAATATTTTGATTTTTTGGTAAAAAAAAAAGTACGATTTTCTTACCAAAACCTGATTTATACTATAATTTTTTTTTTTTGCCTTTACTTTTTCTGTAAACTCTGGACATTTTCTTTGAGTTTATTTTATTAAACTAATAATACAGTTATACAATTATTGTTATACATTTATCTTGTTAAATCAATAGGAACCTTTCATTGCTGTATTTTTATTTTTATTTTTTATATACTTTTACTGTATTATAACAAAAAAGTAACATTATCTTATCTTTTAATAACATTAAAATATTAATTCTAATTTAGAAAATTTTGTAGCTATATATTTACATTTTTAAAATAATTTTTACTATGATATTTGGTTTGTAAACTATTTTCTGTTATATTCTTAAAACTTTGTTCAATATGTAGATAAAATATAGGTCATCTATGTTCCATTATCATTTTTGATAATACAACATAGGTTTAAAGTAAATATACATCAAATCACGTATACTATAATTATAATATTCTCATAAGTATGGTCAATTTTAAAATGTATGGATGACCTGAGTTACAAAAACCAATTTTGAGGTAATAAATTAAAAATAGAAATTAAGATTTTAAATTGTCATTAAATTCAATATTATATTCACTAGTCACTACTACCATTCTGTTGGTAAACTTTTTAATCTCTTATCATAATTATAATTATGTGAAGTGTGGTTCTCTAAATAACAAATAAATACAGGAGTTAATTTATTTTTAATAGTTATCTTTAAAGTTTACTGATAGTAACAATTTAAAATTATTCATTATAGTTTTTTTATTGCTACAAATATTATTAATAATATTCAATTATATTTGTAGATAGTTCTTGTTTGTATTATCAAAGGCAGCACATAAAATATTTAAAATTGTAAACTAAATACGTTGGAGAACTTGTAAAATAATGTATAATTGAATGTTAAATTAAGGTAATTAGTATTATTACAAATATAATAAATGATTACGAAATACCTATTTGAATTGTATACTAAGCAAACTCTTGAATTATTTTACGTTATTTAATTATTATTTATTATTTTTTATTTATTTATGAACTTTATTTATAATTAATTAATTACCATCGATAGCTTGAAAGAAAAATATTTTTGTTTCTTAATTCAATGTATTTCACCGTCCTTGTATACATCTTGTTACCCAATATTAAATTTATTTATTATTACATTTGAAAACATTGATATAAATTATTATTTTTAACCAAGTGTGATTTTTATGTGTCTGACCCGAGTGATTATTTTTAAAATAGATATTGCTATATCCGTTTTCTATGTATATATTATTATCTTTGAAATATAATATAATCATATTATATGTACTTATTTTACTTATTATTACATATTATTCAGAGTATGCCATTAATAACAGATAGTTTTTATAGCATTACATTATATACAGTATTGGCGTATATTTTTTTAAATAATAAATTAAGAATCTATAGAAAACTCTACTTAACTTAAGTATGCATAGTCAATTTATTACTTTTTTAAAATGTATAGGACATTAGTTTTGATTGACACACTTGCAACTTGTTGCGCCCAATCTGTTGTGCTATGCATGTAATATATTCTTCTATTTCTCGGCATTTACGACTCTAACAGAGTCCTTGCCGTTATCACTATATCCCTCCATCTCTCTAGGTCTTGAACAAATTCCTTCCTTTCCTGCACTCCTAAAGCTTCAAGATCCTCCTCTACCATGTTCAGCCACCTCTTCCTCAGTCTACCCCCGAAGCCTTTCCCTCCAGGTTTCCACTCCATAACTGCGCTGATGGTTTCTTCTTCGCTTCTTCTCATAATATGGCCCAGCCACTGGATTCTTTGACCTTTTATGTAGCTAGTGACTTGTGCTAGGCCTAGTTTTTCCTGAAATTCCTTATTGAACATCCTTCACCATTAATTTGTTCTTGTGTTGCAAGCAAACTGGTCCACATATCATCCTCCATATCTTATTTTCAAAAGTTCTGAGTCGTCTCATTGTCACATTTGTCGTTATTCATATTTCACAGCCATATATGAGGTTAGGTCTAATTATTTCCGTGTATTACTACTTTTGTATTTTTGGAGAGGGATTTGGATTTCAGGAATTTGCGCAGCGTAAAAAAGGTTCTGTGATATATTAGGCATGTGATAAATTAACATATTATAATCTTATAATGCTCTCAGATTTGGAAACTGACTTAGTTATTTTCAAAAATATCTAGAAGGTACCTATCTCAATTGTACGGCGTACGCAGTTGCAACTTCTGATTTTGCATCGGATAATTTCGCATAGACGCTGATTCTTTTTATTTTATCCTATATTCCTCAGGAAAAAACTTATCACTCATCCGATACTTCCTTCAAACTTCTCTCCTCCACCCATCCGAAGGACCAAAATTAGACTATAACAGTGATATTCAATGTTTAATATTTTTTTTTTGTGTCCATGTAATAGTTACACAATTTCGATCAAGATGATGGCCGATCATCGTGATCGTGGGAAATTTTTTATAGTTAGTATGATGGTAATTTTATAAAATTCCTACATATTTCTTATTGATTGCAATTGTGGTAAGTTCTCTCTTACTACACGAATATATAAACTCTTGTTCATGAATATAACTATGTGTCTAAGAAGCGATGATGAAAATAACCACATAGTACCATAAAAGTGTTTGATTTGCTTTATTCGATAAACGCACAAACGAATTCTTATCCTTGCGTCGTTGACGAGCCACCCGGTTCACATTTTGGCGTAGAAACCAGGGATTTCGATCGGTTCATTTATTAATTCATTATACCGCTCATCTTATAACATGATGTTATTTTAACCTGTATTTGATTTTTTAAATTCTAATTCATCATAATTTATGTATAAAAACATCCCATTTTAACCTGGCCCGTACAGGTTGCGGTTTTCTTTGCTATTGAAGCGGTTTTTGTACCCAGCAAGGGTGCCTACATTTTTTTCTTGTTGAGCTCGATTTATATTTTATTGAGATTAATACTTTATATTATTATTTTAAGTCTACAGATCACTTATTATTAAAAGTCAGTTATTATTACAATTAGTATTAAAAATAAATAAAATCTTATATTAACAGTTTAACAATTGTTTTTTTGAAATTTGAAGAGCGGAGACTGTTTCAATCGTTTTATTGTGATGTGTGCGCACATACATACGTGTTTATTCAACAATATCTAACAATAATATTTTAAATATTTGCATTTACACACTTCTTTTTCTAATAATTATGGAAAGAAAGACTCTTCGGACTACAAACTAAAAAAATTAATTAATGATTTTGGTAAAAATATATTTTCTATCATACATTATATAGGGTGTCTCAAAAGAACTCAGGATTTAAATCTACTATAAATTAGATTTATTTCTCTTAAAAAAACAACAATTATATCATTCTCTTCAGGAGAAGTTAAGGTTTAACAGTGAAAAACTATATTAGACATATGACACCTCCCTTACTAGCCCTATAGGTGATTATTTTTTCCATACAATTTACCATCACTTGATCACACATTGCCCCATCAAGTTCGTTGAGGATACGACGAATTTCTTGCTTGAGTTCCAAGACATTTCGAACTTTGTTCTGGTAAACTGGTGACTTTTGCTGTAAAAAAAAAAAATCACATGTCCATAGGCGTGCACACGGGGTGTGTCGGGTGTCTCCAGGCACCCCCCGAAGTGTTGTAAATAGGGCCTTACGATTTAAGTCTACGAGTAACGGGCCTGTATTATAACTGATGTTGCTCAAATGAAATGTAATCTACTCTAAAATATCTGGTAAAAGATATAATATTTTATATAGTGGTGTTTCGTAAAGGACAATCTAAAACTATATGTTTTAAATTCTCGTGAGAACACTTATTTTGATGACACAATAGCTACATTTAACTGTAAAAGTACAAATCATAAATAATTGAAGCTATCTGAGAAGAATACACAATATTCAAGGAAAAAATATTGATAGGGACTAATATATCGCACAATATCAAATAGAAAATTAAAATTACGTTTATTTAGTCGTTGATTAAATGTACCTACGCGTTTTATTAAAATAGGGCCCGATATTATTGCAAGCACTCCCTGAAATGCAGGTCTGCGCACGCTTATGTACACGTCAAGATAAGATCCAGGTGCGTAGCATTGGTGTTCACGCAACGAGATTAGTCTGACCGAGCAGTGCCGTTTATAGACATTTTGCCCCTGGCGCAATAAAAAAAAAAAAAAAATTGGCGTCCTTCTAAGGGGCCTGCCCACGGAAAATATATGAGATACATCCTCATGAACCTTTAAGATATTCTAAAATCAATGCTATTTTTGTGTAATAGGCATGCCATCGCACGCCGCACGTGATAACATAATACGTCGTATTATTATAACTTATGTTTATTGACATTATCACAACAAATTTGAGAACTAATATTAGGTATATTAACAATATTCTGGATCGCTGATAGATATATTGCTATAAATACATTAATAAATTAAATACATAAATATTAATTTATGATACTGTTTTTAAAAACAAAAAAAAAATAATAATTTCAAAATAATTTTAAAAGTTCAATAATTTACAAGTGAGCAAATTTCCGATGATAAAATTTTGACACCCGAGGC